ATATAGCGAATCAAGCTAAAATGTAACGCAAACGTTGAACGTACCGCTACGAGATGTTTTTTCATCTAGTAAATAAACAATTTCCTCCATCCATCCTTGTATACCTTCAAGTTTTACTTTCATGATTTCTGTTATATTTATGGTCCTGTTGCTTCTTTGTTTTTACTTTCATAACTGCAAACACCAACTTATCTCTATGACTGCTGTAATCTTTGTGTTTTCCCCTCACCATATCATGTAAACAGAACATTATATTCAATAATTTTAATCATGCTAGGATTTCTATACCGCATCGACAATACTGTGTGAAGCAAGCCCACGGCAATTTCCACTTGTATTATTATTATTACCTTAGCTGTTATCATTATTATTATTTCTATTTTATATGCTGCATGTTTTTTGACATTACTCCTATTGTAAATGTGGAAAATTTTCTGTGTGATTAATTTTATTTATAATTTGAGGAAATTAGATGCAATATTGTGATTAATGCTGAAAATTCCATTCTGTATCACAAGTATTTTTTTTGGAATAAAGTAAATCATTATTATTAATGGTGGTTGACCTCGGTGCAGTAAATCAAATCTCTCTGGCTGTGACTGATATTGGTCTGCACTGAGTACAGTTCACTTCTGATGTTTTTGGAGGTGACAATGTTGAGAGAATTATGCAAATGTATCACGTACTTTAAATTAATACCCGATTCGGATATAAATCACGAATACGATTCGATGTCGTACACTCCAAAGTTATATGAAAGAAGTGACGACAAGCTTCAATTTTTCTCCATGGATTTCTAATCTATCCAACACATACTTGGGTTTTTGTTAATGCGAAGACAATATTCCTATATCTCTTAAAGTGCCCCAGTGATTGACTATTCGTCAAGTTGCTTCCACATACAAAAGGCAAAAATGATAGCAACCACGTGAATTCACAATAAACCAAATTTATATAATTTAAATAACACTTATCAGTGCCTGTAAAATTGGTGTGTCCTACACAGAGTGTAATTAATATACTGGTGTACAATAGCTCGTCATCACCACAATCAGCATCAATTTTGACGGCCCTTCGTATTTCTATGGGAACTAACAGTAGTGATTCTGTTCAGTGTATTATTTTTAGCTTATATCCCTGCCTCTGACTGTTGGTGTGAACGTTCTACGATACCATTAGCTTGAGGATTGTAGGCTGTTGTTCTAAAACGCATGCAACCTATGATTTCGGTCAAGGAAAAGTATAGGCCGCCTTAGAATTGCCGCCCGCGATTAGTTGTTACGGAGGATGGGCATCCAAAACTTGCGATCCATCCTTCTATGAAGACGAGTGCGACTGTTTCAGCAGATACATACTTGAGGGGTACTGCTTCAGACCATCTTGTGAATGGTCAATGCAGATCAAAACATAGGTGCATCCATGAGATTCTGGAAGGGGTCCAACCAGATCTATATGAACGTGTTTGAAATGAGCATCAGGGATAAGACCGGTGCCAAGAGGGTCACTGAGATGTATCAAACCGCCTTGCACTTTCGGCAAGCTAGGCACGTGTGTGCCCATTCCCTTACTTCTCTATCAATACCAGGCCAACAAATGCGACTAGTTACGGGCTTGATGTAGTTCAAATACCTTAGTGGGATAAGCCATGTAACGTATTGAAGACGTTACGGCGATAACTTTTAGGCACGGTGGGGCGAGGAGTACTAGTGGAAATGACGCATAGAATAGTATCTTCTCCCATACCTAAGGGTTTCTCAGTTAATTGCAGAGTTGTTCTCGACAACTCATGTTAAGGCTAAGTATCTCCTTTTTGAAGACGAGCCAGTTTCACAAGGTCTATCCCGTCTTTTTGGGTGAGGGAACAAATACGCGACAAAGCATCTGCCACGTGTTGTTCACTCCAGATATATGGCGAATATCCGATGCAAACTGAAACGTAGTTCAGTTGTCGTGATTCTCTAGGTGAATACCTATCTGAAGTTGACTTCAGAGAGTATGTCAGAGGTTTGTGGTCAGTGAAAATTATGAATTCACGACCCCCCCGAATGTCGAAAGTGACGTATAGCACAGTTCAAAGCTAGAAGTCCTTTGCCGAATGTGCTGTACTTCGTTGCTGCTAATTGAAGGTGCCTCTAGAAAAAGGCGAGTGGTTGCCACTCTCTGTTAACTAGTTGTTGCAGAACTGCGCTGATTGCAGTTTCTGATGCATCACCCGAAGTGCTTACCGGTGCCGTTGGATCCCGATACATTAGAAGTGTGGCATCCACAAAAGCTTTGTTAGCTTGAGTGAAAGCATTTTGAGCAGACTTGTCGAGTTCGATGGACTTGTTATTCTCTCGAAGGTCTGTTAATGGCTGAATCAGGGAGGCACAGTTAGGAATGAAGCGTCGATAATAACTTACCAAGCCATCAAAATTGCGAAGGTTTTTCATCGTATTTCGCTCCAGAATGTTCAGGATCGCTTAACTTTACTAGCGAATGGGGGGATATACTTGCAGTCGAAGGCGTGGCAGAGGAAGTCGAGTGATTCTCCTCCTACCTGGCACTTTTGAGCATCAGTAGCAACGCCATGTTGGCGTAACCTTTTAAATACCAAGTTCAAGTGTCCAAGGTGAGTTTCCTTGTCTGGGCTGGCAATTAGGCAGTCGTCTAAGTATGCGTGTACAAAGTCGAGACTGCGAAATACTCCTTCAATGAAGCGTTCGAATGTTTGTGCTGCATTCTGGAGGCAAAATGGAATATGCAGAAATTCAAAGAGTCAGGAAGGCGTGATGATAGCCGTTTTCGGAATATCTTCTGGTGACATCTGGATTTAGTTGTATGCTTTAACCAAGTCCATTTTCGAGAAAACAGTTGCACCAAATAATGTTGACATAAAGTGGTGTATGTGAGGCACTGCATAGAAGTCATAGGTTGTTTTGGCGTCCACTCGCCGGTAATCACTAGTGGGTCGCCGATCGTTGCTATCTTTTTCGGTACCATATGAAGTGATGATGCCAAGGGTTAACATATGGTCGAATTCATCTGTAGCAAGTTGTAGTTTGTCAGGAGCAATTCGTCGTGCTTTAAGTGTCACGGGTTGTCCTGAGGTTGTGATGTGATGCATAACATTGGTTATGTACGGGCAATCAAGTTCCGGGTGCTTGTCAACAATCGGTTGGAAAGTTGGGTCAAAGATCGCCTTTTTCTTAACTAGTGACAAGCTATGGCCTAAGTAGGTGATGCCTTTAATAAATGGTCTAGTAGTGCCGTCTGTCAGTTGTTTTTGGCGGACATTTACGAGTAGTTCATAATGATGAGTAGGTCCGTGCCAATGATAAGCATACTGACGTCAGCAAGAAAGAAAATCTACTGCACTGGTTTTCATATACCTACGTTCAGATAGGCGTATTTATTATCGAAGGTTGCAGTGGGTTTCCTATTCGCAGCCTGTAAGTTGAAGGTAGACTCCCTCTGTCGATCTGCCCCTTTGGCAGGAAGGATACTGACCTTGGCGTCTCTGTCGACCAACTATCGGGTCTGGTTGACTGCATCACGGATGCACAGTAGGCAACTAATGCCACCGGTGATGGTTGCCACCAACGCGTACCGGCGGGATAGTTTTCCGTGGTCTTTGAGACCGCCAAAATAGCAAGGTTTTCTGCAACATTTCGCCATAGGCATTGTGATACCGACACTAGTCAGGGGTTTCAGGGAACGTGGCTTGGAATTTCACCGACCAAGCGGGTTTCGCTGTTGAGGGGAATTCGAACGATGATATGGCGAATTATGGGGATTATTTGACTGAAGTTGCATAACTCTATCACTGCGGTATCCCTACTCTAAGTCTGTTCAACAACCGAGCACACTCCAGAGACCGTCCATTTTGTTATTTCCAGAATTTTATCGGCGGAGGCAGCTAAGTCGGCTATAATAACACCTTGAATTGTCATCAGCACAGCATGTACTGACTGTGGCAGTTTGGATTAGAATGGTTCTCTGAAGAGTCTGTCATTGAACTGACGTTGGTCCATAACTTCCCTCATTCTCGTTAGGATGCTCACAGCCGACTGATCACCTAACTCCACGTCGCGAAATAGTTCACCAAGACGCTGTCGATCCATGAGGTCGTTTCTCTTTAGGAGGGTTGCCTTAAACAACTCATTCGGGTTACTTACCTCTGGGCTTGACATATGCACAGTTAATCATTTGCTTTATTCCCGCGGCAGAGTGTGGAAAACTGCAAGGAACTGTGAACATTGGTCAGTGATCCCACGTTGACTGAAATCAGACTCGGCTATTTGAAATAATGATTCCGCATTATAGCATGAGGTGAACTGTGTTGCTGGTTGGTCGAATACAGACGACCTTAGGCGTATGGCCACTCCTAGCGAAATATATATACTGTAAAAACAACGAAGAAAAATACAAAATAGGACGAACCCACCGGATTTGTCTGCGTATTTACCAATGATGAAGTTCGCAATAGGGCCCACCAATTTAGAGGCTGAGTGTTTACGTTCACGGATAGTAAGAAGTATACTAACGCAAAATCTAATGCCATAACTTCTGTAGTATTCGTTCCGCGTAGACCTCAGGTAAAACAAAACAAATCGACTAAAACTGTGAGGGTCAGCATCCAATGTACAGTGATGAATGGTGTGGTTAATATTTCTGGGGAATTACCTACCGCTACAAATTCTTGTACCCAATGAAATCAAATCCCTGAAGACCAACCCTTGGATGCTTCGTTTATGTTCTGTATTAGGTTAATCCAAAGATATTTCGCCTTTCGATCATTGAAAACGGATGTCTATCAAACATATCAACTCACGAAAAATTCCATCCAATTACCAAATATACATTTCACAGTGAATTGGTTGGAATTCTATCATCTTTGAGATTGACCAAAGAGACAGTTCTCTAAAGAATAATAAAGATCACACTGGCTGTGAACTTAGTTATTGAAAATCAGGACGCGAAGTTTTAAGCGTGAAGGTTAAGTGGTGGCGGCGTTTGATATGAGTGGTGTTAAGAACAGAGAATTGTTTTCTCACTTGTATAATATTCCTTTCCCTTTGTTTGTGGTAGCCGGTGTTTCGCTTCCCCTTTTTGGACTAATTATTTGTTTCGTGGTTTCTGTATGCCTGAATTTCGATGAGGTTACAGAGTCGGTCTGTGGAGTATGTCGTTAAAATAGTTTTTACATCCCTTCTGTAGGTGTCAAATTTTGTTCCGTCTATTAGTGCGGTTACAGGGATTACACCTCAGCTATATTTTTGGCGTTACATGATTGGATTACATAGTGCACCACGTTTACTCCTTGCTTTAACCTATATTCGGTATCATATGACGTGTTACAGATTGTTTAATCTGTCCTCGCGTTTTAAAATACTAGTGCAAGCTGCATTCTGTCTTAACCTTCTGGACGTGATTGTCTTTGTTGGGGTTGCTTTTGTATCCAATCGGGAGAATTACCGTATGTTGATTATTAGTCTTTCTAATAATTTTATAGCTCTTCATGAACGCTTGTTCATTGTATTCTTGTTTGTTTCAACTGCATATATGATAGTTACTTTAATGATTCACTGGGTTATAGGAGTGACGATTTGCAACCCAAAAGTAATACTCTATTTTTCATTACTAATAGTTTCAGTTTAAGCATTCTTTTCATATTAAGTCATTGTTTTTCGGACTCAATGTTTTCCTGATTCTGTTGTTAATCCAACAGTTCTACAATCATCGATTTATTTGTAAGGCAAATGGTAAGTCCGCTATTCCCAATCCGTATGTTTTATTTCACTTCTTACTTTTTGTAAATGTTCTTGTTGATATAGTGGGCCGTGTAGTCCCTGTAAATCCGTGAAGATCCAGTTTCTTTTAGAAAAAATTTATGAGGGTTTCTGTCAGCATTAACTAAAATATATTGTGCATCTAAGACTAGTTTAGTGATAAGGAGTAAAGTGAACGTTTTGACCACAACTGTTGTTGAGGGAACTGTTTCAGCCCTATTAGCCAATGTGGTAAAGTACACTTCCGACGAGTAAAGTGGATTCGTATCATTATTAAATATTAGTAACTGTTATATTTTATATTCACGTAGGAAATTAAGTCCTACTAACCTACTTCAATATTATTATTCCCTTAAGTTCTGAGGGGTGCATTGGGCTTTAGCAGCACACCTTCATTTCATTCTTCACTCTAGAGCCGGCCCTACTTCCATGTTGTCTCCATACGATCTTTATCATGTTACCCTCGAAGTTCCAGCTTGTCTTTTCCCATTCGGGTTCCGCTTGACCACCTGGCGCGCGATGTCACTCAACGGTTTCAGCGTGTTTTTGATCTATCTGTACTTCTTCAGGAATATTTTTTGAGCTATTGGTTCTTAGTTGGTTCGTTGCCTGACAAAGTTCTTTGTTTAACCTACTGAAGTGTGCTTCTATTTCACCGTTTATTTACGCGTTCCGTTTTTATCAAATTTTTCCATTGTTTGGTTTTTATACGATAATATTGATCACGTTAACAATGCAATTTATTTCTTCTCATCTTAAGCATTTAGTTGGTTTTCTGCCAGTGAATATGGCATTGCGATTGCCAATATGGGATTTCATTTAACCGCTGCATACGACTTTCAAGACGTGGTTTTAACAACAAAAACTCCCAAACTGTGCAATGAATAGACATTTGACTACCTTTTCAGGGGAACAGTTGTTGTCTTTCTTAACACTACTAACCGGATAGAGAGAGTCTTAATGAATTCAACTGCCTGTTTTGATTGTATTTTGCCACTTTAACCTCAGATATATATGTACGTGTGTGTATGCACATGGTGTACAAATATGCCTGAATGTACACATCACTCTTGTTTTCAAAGTGTTTTCTGCTTCTTTTTTTGATACTCGTTGCATTCTTTGTTTGTTTATTTAATTGTGCTAATATTGTGATTTTTACATTAGTGATGTATTTCTTTTTCATTTCGTGTTTTCTTTTTGTTTGTTTTCAAAAAATTGCTGTGAAATTATTTAGTGTTTTTGGGCAAATTTCTTTTATAAGAGATTATTTTTGAATTAGTCTTTTGAGTAGTAACTACAACATTTTGTACTACTAGGCCGAAAGTGTATTTACTAATGTGTGTATATGTATGTGTGCGTGAAAAATCTGCAAATAAAATACATGATAGTACTTCTTCGCTTTGCTGCTTACTTTGATTTGTATATCACGTGATTCTCAGTTGGGCACATTTTTTCTCTTTCTCCCTCTTTCTCTCTCTCATAGACTAGATGGTCAATTTGCCTCGAAGACACGAAGAAAAACTTGCAATAGAAAAGTAAGTTTACATTCGAGTTTGTTTGAAATCTGTTTTCACAATTAACATATATATATATTTGAATAAGGCATTAAGAAGACAAATTTCGCGAGATGACATCATTTCGTAGTTTCTTTACAACCGCTTTACAACTAACATGGTTAACAATAGTAAAATAAAGTTCATGACAATTACTCAGTTAAATAAAAACAAAAGTACACAGTGATGACCAATCATATTTAGATAGGTCATGTAGTCCATGGTAGGCGAAGAATGAATTCTATTGTTTTTGTACACACAGTTTAGGCTGTATGTGATTAATCGAAAGTGCTTCCATCACCTTCAATAACCTTGAATTAGAGTTATGTGAAATAATTGTAAAACAGTCATTAATATTTATTTTGTGACCTGACATTAATAAGTGTTTTGCAATGGATGATGCTGGATTTCTATTCAGATTACTGGCATTGGGATTTTCTATGTGATTTAGTAGCCATTTTGGAACATGTTCTTTCCGACGACATTGGAACATTCTGTTGGTTCTACCTATATAGGTGTCACCGCAGCTGCAGGTGAACTTGTAGATACAGTTTGAAGTAGAGTCCACAGAATTTCGTCCTTTAATCGTAGGTACGGGGATTGAAAATGTTCGGCAAGTGAGGAAAAGAGATGCGGCGTAGAATGTGCGTTTGATGGCTGACCGGAGTCTTTGAGCTGTCAATTGCATAATCTGATCACCCTTGAATGGTAGGTTAATAAAGATAGCTTTCTTTGGTACCGAAGCTGTCTTTTCAATATATATACATATGATGCAATGATTCCCATATGTCATTTGAGTTAGGAGGGGCATCATTTCATATGAGTGTAAGGATAGAGTTTTACTGATCCAGCTAGGTACATTCCATGGGGATTCATGTGTCAGTCTGGCTGTTGGGTAGATTTAGGGTACTCCTGAAGATTCTTAAAATTAAGATACTACAACTCTTGACTTCTAACATTTTAATTTATGGTATAGTCTGCATTTGCGTCGGTGGCATAGCGGTTAGGACGCTCGCCGACCACGCACATGGTCCGGGGTTCGATCTCCGGCCGACGCACTCCTTTACCTCGCAAAGCCAGAAATAATTCTGGTAAAGAGGAAAGGTTGGGCATGAGGCTAGCAACCCCATCCTGTAAAATAAACACTGCTACAGAAACTTCAAGCCACTAGCTTGAGGCCCTATGTTCCACTGGGAACGTGAAGGAAAAAAATAGTCTGCATTGAATTCCCGCCAGTTATTTGGAGCTGTTTTTTTTTACACCTACTCTTCTCAGAACACTTTTCTTGAATATGGTAAATGTTGGGCAGTTTTTTTACCTCGCTTTGAGCTTCAGACTTAAGGTTTAGTATCCGTGGGATTGCTAGTCTCACACTCAACCTTTTCTCTTTTGCGAGTTTACTAAATGAGGATGAGGTTTAAAAGCGTTTCGGTCACCAGTCGAAATACGGTTCACGTGTGTGGCTGGCGGGCGCTCTACCACTGAACTGCAGACGCACATGTTAGGCCAGTACATTTATTATTGTTGTTATTATTTAAATCGAAACTCGGTACAATTTGACCACCAAAAAGTGCTGCACACAGCGTGGTATAACAAACTACTATAAACAGCACATGTATTTGTTATGACTTGCGGTTTAAATAAGTTTGTCGTACTGTTTTGTTAGATATTTGTGTGGGTGGTTTGTTCACCTCACGTTTTTAGTAATGAATCGTTCAACGAGTAGACAAATTTAGTAGCTTATTAGATCCCAGAGAACACACTAATCTTTGAACAGTCTTTCTGGGGTTGGCAAGCATGTCTGAAGTGTGCATACAGTAAATAAGAAAGATTGGTAGAATTTCTGTTTCTGTTTATTAGGGGATGCAGACTCAATCTCAAATGGATTTATAATTTTTTTTTCCTGGTTGAACAGCATTCTCAATATATTTTCAATAAAAGTCCAAATTTTTGTGCTAAATTGAGTAGTAATGCATTGAAATGGCTATATTCAGCTTACTGATTAGAGTTCCCCAATAAACAAATTGCAATGGCCGAAGGTGAGCAGACTTCGGTTTTCTTCTAGAAGTGCATTCATGTGGCCACTTGTGCATAGGCTGAACTGGGTAAGTCCTATTCCCTGGGCTTCACGCCATGGTGGTGTTCCTCATAAAAGTGAAAGGGCGAATGCGGAAATATGGCGCTTGCAAACGGATTAATGGACATATTGGTCTACCTAGACGATGTGAAAAATCCTGATTCCAAATCTACGGTGTACATAGGCCCCAGAATCCGAAAGGTTCGAATGGCGTACGAACCTGTTTTGGACAATGACGACCATGGGAACACTGGCACTTTGCCTCGTGGGTCGGGTTTCATTTCAAGATCCTGGCGGTGGGGTAGATTAGTCTCTCAAGACAAACACGTTGCAGTCTGGTATGCGGAAAGTATCACAGCCCTCTCACAAAGTGTGAGATTTTCTGTGGGGTATCTCTTGGTGCCCATAATATGCCGGGTTTGTTTTAGTGATAATAAAATAACTGATTAGATTGTCTTATCTTATATAAATGTCTCAGTGTAGTTAAGTTTCAGCTTGCCTTTGGAAACACTCTGACTGAGTGAATTCCATTAATTTTCCCCCAGACGCTTTAGTTAATTCAAACCATCCCTGATTTTACTATGATGTGTGATATTAGTCTCAACATACTGGCTTAATCTACTGTATAGTAACTTTACTTACTAGTTGGCATACTGAAATATCGCATACAATAAACTTGTATAGAGCTATCCAGATTTTTGTGCTTTGGTGGTTCAGTGGTAGAACGGTCGCCAACCATGCACGTGGTATAAGGTTCGATTCCTAGCCGACTCACACATTTACTTCCCTTAGCCGATTAAAGAGGAAGGGTTGGCGTGAGGCTAACAACCCCACCTCTTAAAAAATATCACTGCTAATGAAACTTCGAAGCTGAAGCTTTTAAACCCCTTTGTTCCACTGGGAACGCAAAGAAATAAAAAAACAATATTCATATCTTTAATAAGAGTTGGGATTGTGCGACATCTGGGACACTGACCTAACGGTCAGACCTAAGCAGGTGGTTGTTTTAAGAGGGGCATCCTCCGACTTAAAGTCTTATCCACAAGGTAGTGGAGTAACGTGAGGAGCTGCTTTCCTATGGTGTCTGGTAACCACCAAACCAGGTCTATAAGCCATTCGATCCTTTCGGATTCTCGAGCCTGTGTACATCACACAGGCTTGAAATCAGGGTTTTTTAGCTCCTCTAGATAGACCAGCATGTCCTCCAGTCCGTTTGTAAGCTCCAAATGTCTTCATTCAATCTCCCATCTTTGTGAGGAACACCGCCGTAGTGTGGAGGTAGTGAAAAGGACTTACCTAGTAAAGGCTATGAACGCCTGGCCACATGAGAGCATTCTTAGAGGAAGACCGAGGTCTAACCACTCCTTTATTGGGACCAAATGTTACGTAAATTTCCCCAATATTTCTGTTTCGCTATGAAAATTTCTATCGAGAGTATGAATCTCATTTGAGATTGTTAGATTTACATTTCATAAAAAATGAGTTTTTAAAAAGATTTTATCATATTGTATGGACATTGAATATAACTTTACCTGAAAGGTCTAATATTGAATTCAAACTCCTGACAGTAATCATATCTACTCAGATCATCAGGTGTTCTTATTCTGTTGTTATGTTGTGTTATTCCCCCTCCCCTCCCCTTAGATGCTTGCGTTCATTCATAATTAAGTCAATACACGCTATTGTACAAGCCCGTAATGGCATTGTCTGCAATACGAATTGCATGTCTGAAGTTGGTGCGAGGAATAATATGGTAAGTTGGGATTATTATCATTATTATTATTATTAGTATTATTTTCGTTATTGTTGATCTTAAATTCATTAATTAATGATGATTACTCATCAGAGATTACAGTTATTTGACGTGATATGCTGTTAATCAATGTGTGTACGGTGGAATTTTATGCAAAATAACTTCCGAAAAGTAGTAAGAGTGCAAACTAGAAACTATAGGTTCTGAAGTGATGATAAGGTCACACAAATGTATTTAATAACTAAACATTTTGATTACTTGTTTAATTTATGATTGCATGGGGGATTTTATCATGAACTGACATCACTTAAAGAACCACTGGAAAACCTAGGAGTACTGGGGAGCTGTTTCGTCCTAATTTGGGACTCTTCACAGTATGCACCCGCCGGGGTTCGAACCCAGGACCTTCTGGTTACAAGGCGAGCTCGTAGACCATTGAGCCGCTGGGACCCCATCCAATGGTTCTTGAATTCTAACTTCTGCCAATTCACGACATATCGCTCAATGGTCTACGACCTCGCCTTGTAACCAGAAGGTCCTGGGATCGAACCCCGGTGGGTGCGAACTGATGAAGAGTCCCAAACTAGGACGAAACAGCTCCCCAGTACTCCTAGGTTTTCCAGTGGTTCTTTAAGTGATGTCAGCTCATGATGAAATCCTCCATGCAATCCAAACAAAAATCCCTACAAAACCAATACTTGATAATTTATGATTATCGATGTAGCTCATTGGTTTAAGCACTGGACTTCATAGCCATTGCGTCCCGAGTTCGAATCCCGGTCCCTTTGTTCAGCCTAAACAACTGGTTAGTATCAACCCGGATACATCGTGCGGTTCATAGACAGGTGCAGGAAAAATCTGTTCTGCACAACTTGATGCAACCTTTTGCTTATGGATTACTTATTTATTGACTGCTTTCCCTTGTTAAGCGGTATATTATGATGTGTAATATTGAGATTAGGCGTTAGGTTGTTAGCTAAGGAGGGTAAGTCAGTCGTTGAGGTTATAGAAGAGGTGTGCCGCATGCCGAGCCACTGCCTTCCTTGATGCGTAACGTTAGCTGATGTAGGTTTAAGTTGGAAAAGAGTTAGGCGTGAGGTGGTAGGTGGTCAAACCAAAACCTGGCATCAGTCCATGAAAATTTTTAACAATTGGTTTGAATCACGTAAGGAGATGTGGACTGCCTGGTTGAGGGGACCAACGACTGTGGAGACTGCTGGTGATATGGCTCCAAATTGTCAGTGTCATAGATGCATTCACACTTTGTGATCTCCCGTACCCATTAAATTCTTATACTTTTCCATGTTACTATTACTGATTGATGTTGGCTTATGATAAAAATCTAACAATTGGCCTGTTACGACCTAGTGGTATAGCTCCAGTGGCGGCACCATAGGGATGCTGGTGATGAATAGTTGGGTAGATTAACTAGACTCTTTGGCAGTATATTCGGCTACCCAGCAGTTCATTCCAGCATAATTTACCTCTTCAAGCCACAGTCAATGAAGGTAGAAGATACAAAAAGATAAACTAATTCTCAAGAGTTAGTTTGTAAGGAATTGATCTGTTTGAAGTTTGCCCACGGATTGATATCAGTTAGAGAACCATTAAAAATCAGGGGATACAGAAGAGCTGTTTCGCCCTGGTTTGGGGCTCATATATAGTACGCAGTGTGCGTCGGTGGCATAGCGGTTAGGACGCTCGCCAACCATGCACATGGTCCGGGGTTCGATCCCCGGCCGACGCACTCCTTTACCTCACCAAGCCAGATATAATGCTGGTGAAGAGGAAAGGTTGGGCATGAGGCTAGCAACCTCATCCTGTAAAATAAACACTGCTACAGAAACTTCAAGCCACTAGCTTGAAGCCCTATGTTCCACTGGGGAACGTGAAGGATAAAAAAAAATATAGTACGCAGTCATCAGGGTTCGACCCCTCAGGACCTTCCTGTTACAAGGCGATTTTGTAGGCTATTCAGTCACTGGGGCCTAACTCAATTCCCCCATGAATTTTAACTTTTACCAACTGCTGATTTTAGCGTGATCATCAGCCAATGCATCTTTATTCAATGACTCATTTTAGAAGGAGAAATGTGATGATGTTAGGTATAGAGTGTTAGATAATAAAAGTCATTCTATAATATCGTGAAGTTTGATATTAGTTTGTTTGTGAGATGTATCACACAGTGACGAAACAGTATTATTTACTGGATGACGTTTCGAACACAATTTATTACTATTCATAATTATATCAATTATAATCACACGAAATCTAGAGAATAGTTCAGCTATAGCACTACATGCAATCGCACACAGCCATACAATAGGATGGGACAGGATGACAGTTTTAAAGTCTAATGTCACTGGGTGGAGGGAGAGATTGATCACAGAAGCTTTGTTTATCGAATCAACTGCAAATCAACACGTGTAATAGGAATGATTCAACACCTGTCCACCCAGATATCTGGAAAATTCGACTACCCCAACGACGACAAATAGGAGAGAACAAAGAAAACTATAAAACTCAAGTTTCGAAGTCGTGTGAATGTAATTGATATGATTATGAACAGTAATAAATTGTGTTTGAAACCTTGTCATCCAGTAAATAATACTGTTTCACTGTGTGATACATCTTAATAAACAAACTAATATGGAATTACTTACTACCACAGTGCCCAAGTTTTACACATATATTGATCGTGAAGTTTGGTCGTTGGAAATGACTGGAACATGTATTACGCATGCTAGGGAGCCATTATCTTCCTCAATGAGTAATATTTTCTGAAATATAATTAGTTGGGGGTTGGGACGAATATGAATGGCCACACATGATCAAGCTATAGTCGGCAGTTTCACGAAGGTTTGAGAGAAAAAAATATTTACAAAAATTTACCAATCTAGTAGTGATATGTTTGTTAACGATGTTTAGTCACTATCAATATGTCAAACAAAGATGATAATTAACTGAGAAAATTAATGCAATATTTAAAGGTTAGGGACACTTGCAAAGATTAGACAAAAGTAGATTACATAATACATAAATTTGGGAAAATAAGAGTAGTAATTAAGAAATAAGTGTGTCTCAAAATTAATTGTTTTGTCTCTTGCCTAACCCCATGCCGGATAATGTTCGGAAATCTGATGAAGAAACATGCCTAATTGTGCGCCCGATGTAACTAGCGCTAGCTCCGCATCACAGTAGTCAAACTGGTAAGATACACGTAAAGGAGGAGACGATGCCACAATAAGTGGAAATATGGGGCAAGAAGAAATAATTCCACTGACAAACACTAGAACTTAATAGATTTAGGGGATTGAAAAGAGTCGGTGAGTCGTCTCCCTTTGTGATGAACGATTTTGAGTCATATCCCCACCACCTGTTTACTTTACTTTAAGCAAATAGTTTTTACAATAAGCAACAAACGGTATTAAAGCAGGATTTAAATGAATTCATCAAATTTCGGAAGAGCTCTTCAGCTGATTACTTCACACATGGATATATATATATATATATATATGCACTGTTGGGAATACATCAGGAGATATGTGACTGATAAGCTAAGAAACTATATTGAATCAGTCATGCGGAACGACACCTGAGAGTGTTTTTCAAGTCATGTTCGAATAGATAAGGCGAAGAGAGTATGAAAGATCGCAATTAAGATAATAATGCATTGTGGTTAAATTGCATCACTTAAATAAACAATTAGTCTTCAATAGTTGATTTGTAGTAGTTGTCAGTGGCGCAGATGTATTCAGTCTCTTTAACCTTTCATATTCCTTTCTACCATTACTCATTCTATTTCACTCTTATACTTATCTAAATTCTATTGATTCTCTTCTCTCATTTTCCTGTCTACCTTTGTGTGCTCTTTGGAACGTGGCAACTCGAACTGCTGCACCTCGGTGCCAAGTTCTATGTTGAATCCAGCAGCAGCAGTTGATTTGTAAGGGTTTGATTTGTTTTCCGAGTTTGACCCCGTGATTGATATCAGTTAGAGAACCATTGAAAACTAGGGAGTGCTAGACAACTGTTTCATCGTCCTTCTTGGGGACTCATTGGCAGTACGCACCCACTGGGTTTCGAACCCAGGACCTTCCAGTTACAAGGCAAGTTCGTATACCATTCAGTCACTGGGACCCAATTAAATGGCTAGCCCATGAATTCTAGCTTCTACCAATCGGTAATTTTAGCGCGACCACCAGCTAATGTCATCCCTAGCGAGTATTTGTCCTCACTACCGACCAGACGGACCCCACCGGTTACAACTTCTTCACTAGTAATCCAGTCAACTTCGTCCTGCAGCCAGTCACTAGGCTCTGGGTTCGCAATCCAGTGGGCGAGTACTACCGTTGGACCCTAAACTAGGACGAAACAGCTGTCTTGGACTCCTCCTACTGGTTTTCAGTGGTTCTCTAACTGATATTAATCCGTGGTCAATTTCAAAAAACAATTACTCATCAGAGAAAGAACTTGATTATATCGAGAATTGCGAAGTGAATAGTACTGATAATAGTAATGCTAATAATAGCGGTAATAATAATAATGTCAAAACGAGTCAAGATAATGCTACTGATAAAAGATAGTTTTAAGTGAATTATTAATAGTAACAATGAGAGGCAGAATAAAATATTAATAGCAACAATAACAGGTAATGTTGTTGTTGTTCCCTTGGGTTCCTAGTGGAACATAGGGCTTCAACTGCACGTCTCCACTTGCTTCTGTCTTCTGCTGTACTTTTCACCTGCATCCATGTTATTCCATACTGTTTCAACTCCTCTTCACATGATCTCCTCCATGTCACCCTAGCACCGACGAACCACTCGCCGCTTCCCTTTCGGGTTCCACTTGAGCGTTGGCCTGACGCGTGATGTCACCCAGCGGCCTCCTCAGTGAGTGTCCAATCCATCTCCACTTTCTCCTGCATATTTGTTGGGCGATTGGTTCTTGTTTTGTTTCTTCCGATAGTTTCTTGTTGGTGATTCTTTCCGGCCATCTGGTCTTCAGTATAGAGCGAAGACAGTTGTTGATAAAGGTCTGCAACAGGCTGTTGGAAATATTCTTTGTGACACACAGGCGAAGTTTCTGATCCGTATAGAAGAACTGACTGACTTGACGTTTGTATTGAAAATCCGAATCATTTTGTTGTTGATGCAGGCTGAGTGACGAAGATTTCCAGATTGGTTTCAGGTTGATGAATGTGTTTCTCGCCTTCCCGATTCTTGATTTGACATCCTCGTCCGTTCCTCCTGTGGTTGAGACAATGCTCCCTAGATAAGTGAATGAAGTAACCTCTTTCAAATCCCTCCGGTTGATAGTGATTGGCGCTGGATGTTGCTGCTGCTGTTGTTGTTGGTTGGTTATTTTCATAACCTCTGTCTTGTCTATGTTCATCTGGAGTCCTGTCTTTGCTACTTCTTCGACCAGAAGCAGCATGGTAGATTCAGAGTAATTAACATTTCGTTTTGTACACAGAGATCTAGTTTATAAACTCTAATTAATTGCACGAGCCTGCGCAACTGCAAACATCTTGTTTCTTTGTCTGCTGACAACAGTGAATGACATGACAGCGTCCATATAATTTCCGTAGTCTACAAAGTGTTTTGCTATTGAACTTTTAGGCCCTCTGACTTCAGCTGTTTTCAACCACCATGGCAAATGCTCCACTTCATCATGTGTGAGTAGATAATCACCTTTCACTGCGACCTGTGTATTTGCTTCCTCCGCAAAAACACTCAAATTGATGTACACAGTTTCAAACTGCATATATACTTCTAATGGTCTATATGTGTATATATGTAGAGTATTCAGCTGAAGAGATTTTTCCTGAGATTTGATGAATTCGTTAAATCCTGCCTTATTTATCCTTTGTTGTTGTTGTGTGTTTTAAATTTTCGAATTGGGAAATAAGTGTTACCTGATAATTTCATATTAGTTTGTTCATTAAGATGTATCACACAGTGAAAGAGTATTATTTACTGGATGACAAGGTTTCGAACACAATTTATTACTGTTCATAATCATATCAATTATAATCACACGACTTCAAAACTTGAGTTTTATAGTTTTCTTTATTCTCACCTATTTGTCGTCGTTGGGGTAGTAGAATTTTGCAGATATCTTGAACAGGTGTTGAATCATTCCTATTACACGTATTTGCAGTTGATTTGAGAAACAAAGCTTCTGTTATCGGTGTCTTCCTCCAACCTACTGTTACATTAGATTTTAAAACTGTCATCTTTTCCCACCCTCCTATTGTATCGTTGTGTGTAATAGCATGGTTTTTTCCTTCACGTCCCCCAGTGGAACATAGGGCTTCAAGCTAGTGGCTTGAAGTTTCTGTAGCAGTGTTTACTTTTACAGGATGGGGTTGCTAGCCTCATGCCCAACCTTTCCTCTTCACCAGCATTATTTCTGGCTTAGCGAGGTAAAGGAATGCGTCGGCCGGGGGTCAAACCCCGGACCATGTGCATGGTCGGCGAGCGTCCCAACCGCTATGCCACCGACGCACTAATAACATGTAGTGAGTGGTATAACTGAACTATTCTTCTGATTTCTTATCTTATTCGGGTCAAGTAGTCTAGATTTTGCTAAGTTTTTATGCTCCGCTAGTCTGACTGCACCTGTTGTACTACTTTGACCTATGTATTTGAGCTGACAATCATTCCAGCAGAGTACTAGATAAACTAAATTGTTTTGTTTTATAGGCTCCACTGTCAGGATCCTTTAACCGACAAAGCTTGTTACTAATTGCGTTTATGAGTTTGAATGCCAGCCAAAGTGGCCGGTGTAGTTAAGAATTCTGCGTAAGGTTTCTGAGGTTCGTTTCTTGTATGGAAGTACTACTGATGATTTAGATTCCTTATTGTTGGTGTTGTCATTATCCTGAGCATGTTCGAAATGCATGTAGTCATTAATGTTATTATTATTGTCGTTATTATTATTGTCATTATCACTAGTATTATTATTTTATTTTTACATTTCCCTACATACTTTCTGACTTATTTATCAGGGTAATTATTAAGTTTCACAGCTTCTCTTAGTTGCCTCACTTCCTGTCTTAGATTTTCCTTGGTACTACTTAATTTTTGTACTCTATCACTTAATGTTTAATTTCACCAATCCTATTTTCCCTGACATAGGATGGGATGATCGGAAGTTCAAATATCGGTTTGAATGTGTGTTTCCTGTAAACACTAGTGTTTAACTTCCCATCTTCTTTCCTTTTTATGCTACAATCTAACATTGGAAGCTCACTGTCCTTCCTGACTTTCCAATTCATAAGTGAATTGAATTGCCTCCACCTTTGAGTTAATGTGGAGGCAATGCTTGTTTTAAATTTTTGAATCGGGAAATAAATGTTTCCAAATAGTTTTCATTTTAAAAACACTGATATTCAATTATATGAACAACTCTTTAAATATTTTGATTGGACATTAGTAACTAATGTGATGTGTCTAGTCCTTTCTTTGGTGCAGACTGAATTCTATCAGTCAGGTTTGTAATGTGGCCACCATTCTAGGTAGCTCACCATCACGGTGCACATTGATTTGATGATATTAGATGGTTGGAGGCAATCGGCCACAGGAAGCCTTGCTTGACCTAGGTTTCGTGCTAGTTGGCACTCACCAGTCAACAAGGCGTATCTGCAACCTTGAAGGAACTCATGTCCCTTCTGAACCCGAATAGCTCAGTGGTAACGTCTTTGACTGTAGCATTGGGTGACGCGGGTTTGAATCTCAGAAGGGGCATGAGTTCCTTCAAGGTTGCAGATACGCATTGCTGACTGGCGAGTGCCAACTAGCACGAAGCCTAGGTCAAGCGAGGATTCCTGTGGCCGATTGCCTCCAACCATCTAACTCTTGAAATATTCGAAATAGTATGTAAACCATTTTATTTCATGCAATTCCATACATGTGTGTTTAATTCCAATTGTTTTTCTTCTCATTATTCATACATTTAGATGGTGTATGTAGAAGAAGATCCTGAGATTGGAGCAACAATAAAACAAACAATGGATGCTAATTTCCCTGTGCATGTACAAGATTTACTCAGTTTAGAAATAATAGCCCATTGGCCTAGAGAACCACAAATGCTAATGGTTGTAGAAGTTTGGCAATTTCGATTAGATATAATCGAAAGACTTGAAAGTTGTAATAATAATAATAATAGTACTACAATACAAAATGCAACAACAACAACAACAAATTTAAATGCAGCTGTTAACAGCAACACTACAGGAACAGAGAATTGTGCCGATGGTTCACAGTCAACTGAATATGCTGTGGATGATTTTAGGCATCTACGTTTATTTGAGAAATTGGGTACATTGTTAAAATCAATTATGGTTGTTACTCGCCTGCTGCCTGGTAATTAAAATTGTTTTTTTATTTGGGTTATACTCTTCTTAGTTAGTTATTATTATTATTATCTCGGAAAGTTTTTCATAAAAAACATGAAGTTAAGGGAAAAGCCCGACCGATAGCTGCTACCTTGACGTGGTGGTCGGGCTTGCATATCGCAATGACCCAACCAGCTATACTGGCTGGAACTTACGTTACTGTAGGTCCTACCATGCCAGAAAGGTTGTTTGGATAGCGGTTAGACAAAAAGCAGCTACCCAATCCAATGCTATGACTCAAAGTAAATCACAAAATATTATGCCGGGTCGGTCGGGGCCCGCGCTTCCTGCTGCTGTGTCACAGGACAGAAGTGATAAATATGCTACTGAGACACCAAACAAGAAAGAACAAACAAAAACAGGCTGCGTGTGACCGGCCTCAAGCAGTTGTCCCCTGGGCTCTGCGGTCACGCAACACTAACCTTTTCTCTCCTCCCTTCTCAGGCATGAGGCTAGCAACCCCACCCTGTAAACAAAGCTGCTACAGAAACTTCAGTACGATGAATCTCCTTGCGCCAAAAGAAAAAGTCTGTGTGGGGACATGGAATGTCTGCACCATGTACGAGATTGGCAAAGCTGCCCAGATCGTAAACGAAATGAAAAGATACAGCATCTGAAACAAACTACAGACCTTCATTAACAGTTGTCTTCGCTCAATACTCAAGATCAGATGGCTGGCCAGAAAAGATCAGCAATAGAGATCTCTGGGAGCGAACCAACACAGCAGGAACCGATTGTGAAACAAATAGGCAGGAAGAAATGGAGATGGATTGGCTGGCCATACTCTGAGGAAACAATGCATCAAGTGACATCACTAGACAAGCCATTGCTCGAGTGGAACCCGAAAGGGAAGCGGTGAGTTGGTCGTCCAAGGGTGACTTAGAGGAGGTCATGTGAAGAGGAGATGAAAGCATGTGGACAGACTTGGAGCCAGGTGGATACTCTAGCAGAGAACCGAACGCAATGGAGACGCACGGTTGAAGCCCTATGTTCCTCTAGGAATTAAGGGAAGCAATAATAATAATAGTAATAAGGGAAAAGCCTGAAAGAACCCAGATGCTACCGAAGAAATTGCTATTTATTAGTGTTGAATTTAAAGGTGGTGATACGGCAGGTGAGGTCCTGAAGAATCGCTTATGCAGATCACTGAGGAAAGCCTTCTTTAATGGCTGAGCTACATATCAATTTCTACAGCCGACAAATGATCAATGGAATGTGTGAAGGATAAACTGCCGCTTTGGACAGGCCACCTCAATGTGTGTTTATAGATTCACCTACTCGTGTGGAGCTAGTTATATATATATTGGCCGCACAAAGCGCACACTTTCCAAACACATCTCTGAACATTATCCGGCATGGTTAGCAAAAGGACAATGCAAGACAATTAATTACTAGCTCAATTCTCGAGCATTTGGTGCACTCTCAGGCCACGTAGCTTCACCAGAGTCGTCTTCCAAGATCATCTACAAGGTGAGGCCAAGTGGTACAAAGGGCGTCAGGTTACGGTTTTTGTGTATGGCAGAGGCGCTGGCAATTAGTCAATACAACCGCGAACTCTGTATACAGAAAAAAAGTTTGTCCAGTCTCTTATTCTACGCTGGTCTTAACCTCTTCACTAGTCGTTCCCTGTAAAAAACCTTATTGTTGTTTAGATTATTTGGGGATTTTAATTTTCAAGAATTTGTTAGTAAGGATTTGGTTTGTTTCATCATGGATTAATATTGGTTAGAGGGGAATCATTGGAAACCACCAGGGAGTACCGGACAGCTGTTTCAACTGATATCAATCGGTGAGCAAACTTGAAACAAATCAAATGAAATCCCTACAAACAAACTCTAATGCTCGCCAGTGTTTGGCTGCAGGACGAAGTTGACTGAAGGTAAGTTCTAGTGAAGTTGTGACCGCTGAGGAGTGAGGATGGAGTTCCTTCCGATGATATTGGCTTGTGGTCGCGCTAAAATCAATTGTTAGAGGTTGGAATTCACGGGCTAGTCATCGAGTCGGGTCCATTTTAGATAAGATTTTATTTTCTCCATAATGGTTAAGATTTTATTTTGATAAAATCACAGTACAGTAATATTAACTGATGACCACGTTTCGAGCACAAACTATTGCTCATAATCATATCAAGGCAATACTCACAACTTTTTCCCTTCATCTATATACATGTGTGGAATCGATTAGATATTTGAATAAAAATCAATATAGGATAATGTACATTCAGAATTATTACTATGAGTGTTATTGATCAATTACAATCAGATGGGAAATAAGACTGTAACGACAGAAAGCAAGAGTCAGGCAACAGATCATTTATTAAGGAAATCAACGCATATTTATATATTTGCATGTACATTACTATGGTTATTTAAACAAACAAACACAGTTTTCCGATTAGTTGTTTCTCACGTAAAGTTAATCTTTCATCTATTTGTGACTGTTTCTTGAATGTCAAATCCTCTATATGTTAACTGCATCCGCCTACGCAAAGTCTGCTGTGGTTGGTTTTGAATCAATCTTTGTTCACATTTTCTCACGACAAATCTTGGGAACGTAAATATTGACGTAAATTACTGTCTACCAATTCGGCTAGTAGACAGCTCTCACCACAAGACAAGTGTTTCTATAGTCATGATAAGTTACTTCTTAGAATGTTGTGATGTGCTTGAATTGAAATAGAATTTTGAGATTATTTATTATCCTCCTCTGATTTCACTGACTGACTGGTGGTAATAATATCTTCCATATCTCTGGTATTTGCATTGAGTCATTCCTATTGCATGTGTTAGGTGTAGATTCGATGAACAAGGATTCAGTAATCAACGTCTCTCTCTCCATCTACCTAGATTACGTTTTAGAATTTTAACCCTCTCCCAACCTATTGTGTGGTTGTGTGTTGATAATAAATAATCTTAAAATTCTATTTCAATTCATGTACATTCTAACATTCTAACAAACACTCGTCTTATTTCCCATCTGATTGTAATTGATCAATAATACTCATATTATTATTTCTGAATGTACATTATCCCATATTGATTTTTATTCAAATGTCTAGTCATCAATATCACTCATGTATATAAATGAAGGAAAAAGTTGTGTGAGTGAGTAACTTGATATGATTATGGGTGGCAATAATTTGTGCTCGAAACGTCATCCATTAATCTTACCGTATAACACTGTGTGATTTTTCAAAATAAAATCTTATCCATAATGGAGTTATGCTCAACCACAGTGCCCAAGTTTTATACTTATATCAATAACTCATGGCTTAAGTATAATAGGTAATGACTTTATTCCAAACAGTATTTTTGATACTAATTTTCTCATTGAATTATGTAGTACAGTGGGAAATAATTAACAGGGCAGCTGCTTTGATAACACTGCTCATTAAGAATGTGAGTATAAAATTAGAATTTGAGCAGAAATATTAACAGCAATATAATAATGAAAAAGAGAATAAAAGGGGTTGTTGACTTACTGTTTCGCAGTAAGTTAGTAGTGTCTTTTCTCACCACATAAAATGTGTATCAAATAGGGTATTGTGAAGTTTTTATACTTAGTCCTCCGATCATAAAGTTTTCCATAGTTCTTCTTCTAGTTCTACCTGTTGACATGTAAAGAGAGAGTTGTGTATAGAGAGGATGCTCAGGATCTGACAAGAGAATATACGCCAATTTCTTGTATGGATTCATGTGTCTTTCTCCAACAGTATTAATAAGTTGGTTTAGTGATACTCTGCACCCTGCTGACAGCATTTAGTGCCATTCGCAGTGTAACAAAGTGTTCTTTAAGTAGCTCAGGAAGGCTTCGTGTGCTTTTGGAAGTGCGTGGGCGGTTGTTACTTCCCGGCTGCCCACACCATGGAAGTTGATTGGTTCTTCGGGTACCTGAAACAGAGAGTTAGTGTTGTGTGACCACAGAGCCCAGGGGACAACTGCTTAAGGCCGGTCACACACGGCCTGTGTGAACTGGTTTCTTGGATTGGTTCCGTATTAGTAAACTTACCGCCGGTTACGGACGACCGTAGGTGGGGTAAGTTGTGATGTGCAATTTTTGGGGTCGACCTTTTCTAACCGACTCTCTCCGGAGTGGAGAGACAGCATAGCTGGCTGGCATGCTGGTCATCTGAGGGAAACACCTCACTGCTGTTACATCTCTGTTCCCAAGCAGTACGACTTGGCCCACAGACCCCCAGCATAGTGTAAGAGAGATTCTTACGCAATGCTGGTAACTGCTTTTAGTCTAATCGCTATCCTAATAACCTCCCTGGCATGGTAGGACCTGCAGGAACATTGGTTCCAGCCAGTGCAGCTTGTTGGGTCATCGCGATGTGCAAGCCAGGCGACCACCACGTCAAGTTAGCAGCTATCGGTCGAAATGGAAAGGAAAGGGGGAAAGACTAAGGGGGAGGGCAATAAAAAGTATTAGACAGTAGAGGCTGTGTGATACCATACTGTCTTAATTTCTTTACATAGAAGATTAAACGAAATATCTTTCTAGAAGCTAATGTGATGTGGGAAGATCAGGAAACAATAGAGGAAGTATACAATCCAAGGTATTCGACTCAGTTTCCACTTCCCTGTCATCTATGATAGTAGAATCATGCGAACGAACCAGTTCATGTAAGTAGCGCTTGTGTGTGAAAGTGAAATTAACAATCTGACTGACATTTGGAGAGATTTAGCTTAAGACCATTTGATAAAGACTACAGACTAATTTTTAATAAAAACAAGATTCATTTTTCAACAATCTGATTGAGATGTGACAAGCATGGAAACAGTCAGATCATTGGCGTACTATGTCACAAAATTGGCTTCATCAGAATGGTGGGAAGTCATGTGAGAAGAAAGGAAACTGTAAAGGAGAAAGACCGGCAAAGTTCAACAACAGCGTCCCAGGAGTACGAACGCACGAGTGACCTTCAACCGACCAATCATAAAAATGACTGTTTGCTCAAAAAATGATGTATATTGACAAGAAAACGCTTGAAAACGCATTAAACAGGTTATCTTTCTCTGACATGGCTTAAAAATACGTCCTAGTTATAACGAGGAGTATCAGTTGCTAAGTTAGACTAGTTTTTGTACATGTATTCACCGAGGTGACTACAGATAAACTGTTTTTGTGAATCGTTTATCTCTCTCATCCTGCTTGCAGTCTTCCAAAAAAGCCCTTGGTTGAATTGTTATGGTTTCCAGCAAGAGGATAGACGACTACTTACCAGGAAAACGAGGATAATAAAAAATTAAAATAAATGACATCAGCTATAAATCTATCCCTGATCGTAACCATAAGCTTAATCCTGACCCTAACACTGAACCTAACCCTAATCGTTATCCTTATTCAGACCGTAATTCTAACCCTAATGCTAATTATAACCCTGATCCTAACCTTAAACCCAATAGTTACCTTAACCCTAATTCTAACCCTAACGAGCTATTAACACATTGTCCAAACAGTAGTTAAAAACGTGATCTGGGTGAAATTTGCTCCTAAGTTGGTGAATAGCGTTGATATTTCAGCTATGATAATGACAGATGCCGTTAGCCAACGACTAGCATGCGTTCAAGGTCATTGGGGCGTTCATACTCCTGGGACGCAATTGTTGAACTTCGCCGAAAGACCAGCACCTTGTGAAGGACACCGACTAGAGTATAAGTGAAGCACCGGAGGACTTCTCACTATTATATGCAGTGTACTGCTTTCTACCAGAAAAGCAGCAAAAAAATGCGCAACTGTTCAATAATAATACAGCACCCTACTTGTATTGCGCAGCAAGCTTGTGTTTAACCAAATAGATTACACACTTATGGTGGTGTTTAAGTATTGTATATCGTGGGCAGTCACGTGTATTATTGAATTGGTAAACAAACTTACAAATACTTGTGAAAGTTTAGAATTGTATACATATAACAACATTGTTTATTGATACATGGTGTGATGATATGTGCGTGCGTTAGACGTGTATACTACTTGTAGTGTACCCCTTATTGTATTGTATTTTAGTATTACTGTGCTCACGTGAAAGTTACTTTTCATTAAAACACTTCCCTTAGGAATATTGCGCAGAACACTTCAGAGACAAATATAATGTTGGAGGAATCGTCGACCGAGAGGAGGAGGTACTATAACAGCTTTTGATCGTGAAAAAGAGAGTGCCGAGAAAGTACATTGCACTAATCAAGGCACTGTATTTGAACTCACGTAACTTACCGTGTAAGAACTTACGGAGAGTTTGTCATCCAATGTGATGACAACCAGTGTGGTGTCCGTCAGGGATGCCCACTGTGTCCCCTTTTCTGTTTAATTTTATCATAGATATACTGATGAAATTAACTCTGACTGAATTCAGTGACTTAGGGATTGAATATACGGATGATTTAGTCCTTCTAGGTGAAGATGCTGACGAAATACAGTCTTCTGAACACTTTGAGGAATCAATTTCTGAGTGCTTGGCATATGATTTGCTCCTGTCAGATGGAAGGTGATGCTGCAGGACTAGACTACATCGACTCCTAGCTTAACGATAAGGATCAAAATGATAGAGTATGTCGACCACTTCGCCTATTTGTGAAGTTGCATCAGCCGCAAAAGGCTGATTGCTGAAGAAATATGAGTGCTGATGCAAAAGGCTCATGTGCCGTTTGTCAACTTACGCCGTCTCTGACGTAGACGTAATATCTTGCAATTGGTCAAAAGATGTCTGTACTGCTCAGCAGTTCTCTCTCTACCCTTCTTCATATATCTGTGAAACGTGGTTATTGAAAGTGGAAGCTATGCGAAGGCTAGCTGTCTTTGACCACGGGTGTTTGCATCCTATCTCCCGTGTTAAGTGGTATAATACGGTGAGGCTAGGTGTGGAGTGCTAAGTAATAACGGCAAGTCATTTGCTGAGGTTGGGAAGTTAAATCGGTTGAGATGGCTATGACATGTGTCGCGCATGACAAGCCACCGCCTTCCTCGATCAGTGATGTTAGATGGCTTAGGGTTGGGTTGAATAAGAGTTAGAATTGGTCAAACTAAAACATGGAATCAGTTCATAAAGTCCTTGACAGTTGGTTTAGCCACGTGGGGAGGTATAGACGACTTCGTTGGGGTTCTTAGGATGTAAAGATCCAATGACTCGAGACAGTCGATGATATGGTGCAGATGCATTCACACTTTGTGATCTCTCCCATATCCAGTAAACCCTGTTGTTCCTCCATAACACTGTTCTTTCTCCTCCTCACATTTCTGCTTATTATTGTTCTTTTGAATCTCTTTTCTCTCGTTTGTCTGCCCTTGAGTGCTAAATGGGGTGTGGCAACTCGAATCTGTACAATTCTATTCAAAGTTCTATGTTGAAACCAGTCAGTCAGTTAGTGGAGAAATCGTAGCTTACTCCAGAGAAATAGTATCTGTCATTCTTTAGTCAGGAACAGAATTAGCCTCTACATTTAATATACGTGTAAGAATTGGGAACTGTGGTATTATACAGTTCCATATTAATTTGTTTATTGAATTTATATATCACACAGTGATACAGTATCATTTACTGGATGATGATGACGTTTCGAACACAGCTTATTAATTATCTCAAATGGATGGGAAAGTTCCAGAACAATTTCTGGTTAGGGGTTAAATTAATAAAAATTACAATTAGGAATTAGAATGCCATAATAAACAGGGGGATGGGTAAAACTCAAACAAAGTAGCATAATAACTAAGAAAATTGACATTGTGCAATTGGGGTTAGAAATGTAAAAAATAACAAAATATACAGGATGTTTGGATAAGAAACTAGTGTGATGAATAATTGTTTATGCAATCAGGGATTAAATATGTAGAGATAATAAAATGACAAAATAAACAGGAAGTGTGGATATGAAAATATGGTAGGGTAGACAGGGATTAGGAAAACTTAAAATAACATGAATAAACAGGAAGTTTAAATAAGAAAGGCGATGGGATGGTCATTATTATTATTCGGCCGTATTATTATCATTATTCGGCCGTACCATGCGCCAACTTGGAAAACGCGCTCGTGAACACTACCCAGCTTGGCTGGTAAAAGGAGAGCAAAAACGTGTAAACAGTTCAGTGACAGAACATCTCGTCAACTCAGGACATTCAGCGCCTTTCGAAAAGTCCTTCAAAGTAATATACAAGGTTCAATCAAACCTCTCAAAGGGAGTGAAGTCAAGACATTTAGGCATAGCTGAGGCGTTAGCTATCCAAAAACTCAAACCCACCCTTTGTATCCAAAAGAAATACATCCAACCCCTGTCCCTGCCATGTCCATCGTAAACAGGTAAATTTGTTAATAATGACCATCCCATCGCCTTTCTTATTTAAACTTCCTGTTTATTCATGTTATTTTAAGTTTTCCTAATCCCTGTCTACCCTACCATATTTTCATATCCACACTTCCTGTTTATTTTGTCATTTTATTATCTCTACATATTTAATCCCTGATTGCATAAACAATTATTCATCACACTAGTTTCTTATCCAAACATCCTGTATATTTTGTTATTTTTTACATTTCTAACCCCAATTGCACAATGTCAATTTTCTTAGTTATTATGCTACTTTGTTTGAGTTTTACCCATCCCCCTGTTTATTATGACATTCTAATTCCTAATTATTAATTATCATCATATCAACTCATAGTTTACATAGTAATTAGCAATTTACACAGCTCGAGAAGGTAAGATTTCACTAAAGTTTCCTTTGGGAAGCAAATTATTAAGATAATAGTATACGTACGTCTACTTGATACCATGTATGATAATTAAGAAACCAAGCATATTTTCATGAGTGATTGGTATACTACTCATTTCAATTATTCAGTAGTATACAATTTCAAGCAAAATATTTGGATTTTCTATTACCATTTATGGTTTTAAGCAGATCACATATACATACTGTAAACTGAATGGTTAGGTTTCTAAAGGAAACTATGGTAAAATTCTATCTCCTCAAACTGTGTTAACTTCAAATAGTGAACTTGATTTGTGGTGTTATTAGTTACCTGAACGAACGTTCAGATAGCCAACCGGAAATCGGGTGGTTTTACCTGACTGGGCTATCTGAGCCGAGTCAAACAGGGAACACCGCTGATGAGCTTGGCCCCCAAAAGGGGGAATGGCTGTTCGGTGTACACCTAACCTCGATCTGGCTAGCAAGGACTATTGTTTGATATGAGTGACGTACGACTAATCAGCTCAGTTAATTAGAAGTATATAGTGATAGGGATTCTTATCCATAAGAATTAAAAAACCCAACATCAACAGGATAGTTGAATTTCTGTGTAAGTGGTTGGATGGTCTAAGACCTAAGAATTCTAACCTGAAGGCCCTGGGTTCGATTCCTGGGGGGGGTCATGGGTAAGTGCTGTTAGGACGAAACAGTCGCTTAGTCCTCCCAGGTTTTGAATGGTTCTCTGAATTTGGTCAATCTGTCATCAAACTTGAGACAATATCACTATGCGTTTTGAACGAAATCAGTTCAATGAAACTTTTCGCCTAAAACGTAGTAGTCCTTTTTCGCTGATAACATATACAGCTGTCTCGTTCACGCAGTGTGGAATGCGGATATTAGTGGTTCACTTCTTTGTATGGCTATTGTTTCAGTCATTTAACACGTCTTTTATTTTATTGTGTAGGCTATCGACTGTCACGTACCCAGGATCCTGCAGATTATCAAATGTGCTATACACTTCGTCGTGGTCCTAGTGATCTATCCAGACTGGGAGCTTCACCGAAATCCTATAATGTTGGTCGTGTATTCTCTGGTTTAGCAGTACCGCAATCACCTGGAGAAAAAGGTTCACCCATTACTACTGCTACTGCTACTACGGTTACGGATAAAACAACTAAAGTTGGCTCTGATAGTGGTGGTGGTGGTGGTGTTGGTGGTCTGACTATCGCAGATGGCTTAATTCCGGTTTACTTGGGTACAACTGTACATTATCGTACTCAAATTCACTATGGACCTACAAATAAACTGATACCTGTTGTTGACGGTGTAACCAAGGCTAATTTATCTGGTAAAAATGGAATAAATGAGGTGAATAATTCTAGTTTGGTTTTGTTTTTCTATAAAGGTTGATTTTCATTGTCGTTTTTACCATTTGATGACTACCTACAGAGTAGTTTTCACTTTCATATTTGTTTTGTGGAAACGGAAGTGTTTTTTAAAAAGTTTGACCACGGGCTCATATCAATTAGAACACCAGTGGAAACTAGGGGGTACTGGAAGGCTGTGTCGTACTCGTTTGTGACTCTTCACCAGTACACACCCGCCGGGGTTCGAAGTCAGGACCTTCGGGTTACAAGGCAATCTTGTAGACCATTCAGGTATTGGGACCTGACTTAGTGGCCAGCTGATGAAGTCTAACCCCCACCGATTGGTGATTTTAGCGTGGCTGGCATCAACCAATGTCATTTCTGGAGAGTATTTGTCCTCACTTCTGACCGGGTGGTAAATAATTTTACATTCTGTCACCAAAGAAAATCTCCTTTTGTGTGCTATATGGAGTGTGGTGACTATGCACTTCTGGATATGTTTTATGTTTTAAAACTTAGTCCGTCAGTTAATTCAGGTGATTTTTTGTTTGTTTTTACCTTGCAGATATTTGATGCCAACAGTCTTCGGAGTGTCGATTTTCACTCTCTCCACAACAATCAAAAGTCACAGAAACATGTTCGTGTTGCTGAAAAACCTACTCAAGCTGTTGACTTCATTAAATTCGAACAGTCCAAATTACCATGGTGAGTTTATTTTTTGTTGAAAACTAGCAGGGAATACTAGACATGCTGTTTCGTCGCAGCCTGTGACTCTTCAGCAGTACGCACCCATTGTTACGACCAAAACCGAGTCGTTGTCGTCTGAGTGCAGGAAACCGATCTCTGCGTCCAACTGTGTAGCTGACGAAACTTCCTTGAGACATACACGGTCACAAATCGCTCCAAAGGCAGTAAAAATACAATTATTCGTTGCTGGAATCTGTGATTCTGTTCAGCAAAACTCAAAATTAACTCAACAGTGCCGTTAGACAGCTATACAGTCCAATCAATTTCCTAAGTACAAAACAGGTATTACAGAACAAAATCAGTTATTCAAAGCTCAACTGTAAGAAATACCTTAGAATCAAGCAGAATTTTCCTAGAAACCTGAGACCAAAGTCTCTCCATAAGGATCACACTCCAACGCTTTCAATAGACAATTCAAGACCGGACTGACTTTGATTCACTCAGACAGTATCACATCATAAAACAACACATCAGTGTGTCTCATAATCGCAAAGAGAAGCATTAAAATTACAGAATAAACAAAGACAAATAAAGTGGCGCAAATCAGCATGTGATATGCGAATGTCAGAACAATGATAACGCTTTGGCGTTTGAAACTATGTGCACTGGGTTCGAGCCTCGGTGGGAACATCATCATTCACTGGGGAATGCAGGTACATCCAGTAGCTGACGAGTCCCAAATAGGATGAAATGCGCGTTATCCTGGATTCCACTGCTAGTCACCATCCACCAATTAACTTTTAATGATATACAGTGTAGGGGGGAAATGGATAATGATTACAAAATTAGTTGAAACATACAAACATAAATAACCGCAAATTTATAGTAATTTTTCTTGGCAACAAAAGGAATATTTCCAAAGATGCAATTGTTAATTTTTTGACAACAAATTACGTAATTTAGAAGGCGTTAATCGGTTAGAAACTAAAATAAAGTTACAAAAGTAGGTTGGGTGACGTAATCTAATTGCTAGGGTTCAATGAAAAATGAATGAGAGTCAAGTTAATAATCTGAGTAGAATTCACTTGAAAATGGATGAGAGTTAAGTTGATAAGCTGAGTAGAATTCACTTAAAAATGAACGAAAATGGAGTTAGCAACAGTCGTCATGAGGGTAGAGATTTAATAGAGGGTGGGGGTAGAAAATAATGCAATTAAGAAACAGACAAACAAAGAAGAAAGAGGTAAGACAAAATTACGTATTTGGTGTTGAGATAGATCAGGACCATTGTAGATTTAGTGACTGAACAAACTTCTTTTGTATGCAGAGTTCAGGATTCAATATGTGAATTGCCATTGCTTCTGCAGTTTGAAGAAGTTTAATTCGTACTCTTTTGGCAAGGTTCCCACGAAGAGTACGAATTAAACTTCTTCAAACTGCAGAAGCAATGGCAATTCATATATTGAATCCTGAACTCTGCATACAAAAGAAGTTTATTCAGTCACTAAATCTACAATGGTCCTGATCTATCTCAACACCAAATACGTAATTTTGTCTTACCTCTTTCTTCTTTGTTTGTCTGTTTCTTAATTGCATTATTTTCTACCCCCACCCTCTATTAAATCTCTACCCTCATGACGACTGTTGCTAACTCCATTTTCGTTTATTTTTAAGTGAATTCTACTCAGCTTATCAACTTAACTCTCATCCATTTTCAAGTGAATTCTACTCAGATTATTAACTTGACTCTCATTCATTTTTCATTGAACCCTAGCAATTAGATTACGTCACCCAACCTACTTTTGTAACTTTATTTTAGTTTCTAACCGATTAACGCCTTCTAAATTACGTAATTTGTTGTCAAAAAATTAACAATTGCATCTTTGGAAATATTCCTTTTGTTGCCAAGAAAAATTACCATAAATTTGCGGTTTGTACAGCTTGAGAATGATATCGTCGAAAAGAGTAACTCTTTGCTGAACGCCTTTTCTTTTCTATGACTGAATGGGAATTTTCAAATTACTGAAACATAAATAAATATTGTGATTAGATTGTTCAGCAGGGATTTTCCAAGCAATTACTTCGATACACCCATCACTCCACCGGGAACCGGACCCAAAACATTCACGTTACGAGGTGAGCTTGTTGACCATTCAGCCGCTGGGACAGAATCTAATGACCTATGGACCATGTTAAACTTTGAGCGCCACTAACTACCAATTAGCGAACGATGTCGAATTATCCAATGAGATTCACGATGTTGTATAGCACTTGATTCATTTCAAATGCGTTCCCTAACAAGGTTATGGTTGCTATTCGAGGAGGATAGTGTTTTCCAGTATTGCATAGATTTAGGATTGCTTTGGAAGGAGAGAACTTGTTCGTGTGGTGGTGTCATGACTTTAAAAAGCTTTAGCAGGTCAACTGATGGATGGCTAAACCCTGATTCCAAACCTCCAACGACTGGCGTATGAAGCCCACTGGAGCTCACCGGCAGACGTATGGACAAAGGGCGTGTTGGATGTCCTGGATGTCTGGCCCCATTCAAAAGGCGTATGAACCGAACTCCGGTCACCGGCTGCCAATGGATAGTGGACTCCCTACTCCACTCCTACTGCCTTGTAGGTCACACTTGGCTGTGTAAAGGCTAGAGCTGCACTCTCGAACAAAAGGCCGAGCGATTCTGGGGACTTCACTCGTACCAAATTCCCACGAAACTTCATGAACTCTCTTACAAACGACTCTCACCATGCTACGGCGTTCCCGGTAAGCGACGCGCCCTGTGCTCACCCGGTGGCCAGTGTGAAAAGTAAGCCAGCTGGGAAATTAACACTTAGGAACCAACTATTTGTTGGCTGCTGGAATGTTAGGACGCTGTTGGACCCTGGTAGCCAGTCTATCACCATGCGTTCTTTATACGACTACAAGGTGGACATAGCGTGTCTATCTGAAGTGAGGTTGCCCGATCATGGCTCCCGCCGAATAGCCGTACCTGGAACAGATTCTTCATTCTGGTTGCTTCATAGTGGACCCCAGAATAATTCGGGACAACATGGGGTAGCATTTGCTCTCAGTAACAAAGCCAATAATGCCCTAATATCGTTCGAACCGGTCAACTCCAGAGTTGCAATCGCTAGGTTCAAGGGTTCCCCGCTCGACATTTCTGTTCTCGCTGTCTATGCCCCAACCCTCGACTCTGATGAAAGTATCAAAGACGAATTCTATGACAATCTTCAAGAGGCAATCAACAAAATCCCAAAGCGTGACGTTCTCATAGTAGCCGGCGATTGGAACGCCCACACTGGCCCTTCAGACGACGCGACAAAACATATACTAGGCAAACACGGTCTCGATCAGCAATGCCGTAACGGTGATAGACTTTTAGCTTTCTCTGATTACAATCGATTATATATCACCAACACTCGATTTCAACACCCTAGAAAACATCTTCTCACCTGGTATTCGAACGACGGTCGCACTGCACATCAGATTGACTACATCCTAGTGCGCTCACGCTGGATCTCCTCGGTGGAGGACTGCCGATCCTATCGTGGCGCAGAGGCCGGAAACAAAGGGGAATCAGACCATACTCTAGTTCGGGCGAAATTCAAACTTCGTTTGACAACACGCCAGAAGGTGCGACCTCCGAAGCGTATCAATGTTGCCCCGCTTCAATGTTCGATAAAGCGACAAGCCTTGTCCAAACAAATCCAGGCCGAACTAAGCGCCGCAGATGAGCCAACATCCACATCTTCTAATACACCTGAGACACGATGGAATCATTTCAAAGAAGTAGTCTCTAAAGCTTCAATGTCGCATTTGGGTACCACATCCAACAAACAGAAAGACTGGATTTCAGATCATACTATGCATCTATCCTCGCAAGCCAGAGACGCTCGCCTAGCAAAGTCTCCAGTTTATCGCTCCCTCAGGCGCAAAGCTACACAGTGTGCTAGGAATGATAGAAATCGCTATTGGTCTAATGTGACGACTAACATGGAAGGAGCATCAAATGTAGGCGATTTCGGAAAACTTTATCGCCTCATACGCCTATCATCTGGCAAACGCCTTAACAGCCATGCTGTGTTACGCACAGCATCAGGAGAAATTATTTCGGACACCAATGGTAAGATGGAACGATAGGCCGAACATTTCAAGCAGCTACTCAATCGCAACGCTGGTCAACCTCCTCATCGACCGATACAACACATATCAACACCCTACGTAGTTGACTGCGATCCACCCACTCCAACCGAAATAGCTAGAACAATTAGCAGACTCAGGAACAAGAAAGCTCCGGGCGAAGATGGTCTACCTCCAGAAATATACAAGGCCTGCACTCCAGCGCTAATCGATTCCCTGCACTCGCTGTTCTGCGCAATTTGGGATTCCGAAACCATTCCTTCCGATTGGAGCACCTCAGTTTTGCTACCGTTCCACAAAAAGGGAGACAGGTCAATATGTGAGAACTACCGAGGCATAAGTCTGATTGATATCGCTGCTAAGGTTTTTGTTTCCATTCTCCTGAACCGCTTCGCTGCCGAACGCCACGTGCGAACAAGGCCAAATCAAGCCGGATTTCGACCTGGAAGAGGCTGTGTTGATCAATTATTCACACTGCGAAGAATTTTGGAACACAGGGACAAATATCAACAGCCGACGGTTGCTTGTTTCATCGACTTCCGAGCTGCATTTGACTCAGTTGATCGAGGAGCACTCTGGTATCTAATGGAGCTCGACGGAGTTCCGACCAAGCTAATCAACCTGCTCAGGTCATACTACTCCAACACCAAAGCTCGAGTCCGAGTGAACGGTGAAGAGTCTCGCACTTTTGAGGTAACCAGCGGTGTCCGGCAAGGTTGTCCAGCATCCCCCATTCTGTTCAATTTCACAATTGATTGGATTTTGCGGCACGCCCTAACCGAGCACCACGGCGTCCAACTTTCGCCTGATATTCACATAACCGACCTCGAATTCGCCGACGACGTCGTGTTACTTGCTGAAAACTTCCCCGATATGCAACAGGCGCTCGATCAGATAAACCACCTCGCGTCTACCATCGGTTTGGAAATCAACACTTCCAAAACCAAAATGTTTTCGAACACATCCACCAGCAATGATGAAATCTTATACCTGAATGGAGCACCTATTGAAATTGTGCCATCCTTCAGATATCTGGGATCCATAATGCTTCCCAACGGTCAAGCGAAAAACGAAGTGAATGCGCGGATCTCCAACGCCCGGAATGCGTTTCTTCAGCTGAGAAGCGTTCTATGGAGCAAGAGGGAAATCAGTCTCAGGACTAAAATTCGGGTTTACCAAGCCTCCATACGATCCGTTCTCCTGTATGGCTGTGAAACCTGGCCTCTTCGCGCAGAAGATGTACGCAGACTTGAGGTAGTAAACCATTGGTGCCTCAGGTACATTCTGCATGTTCGTTGGCAGGACAAACTCTCCAACGAAGAAGTGCGTCGTCGTTGCTACAACACCAACCAAATTCCAGTACTGGTCCAACAACATCGCCTTCGGTGGTTTGGCCATGTTCTGCGCCGACCAGATGATGATCTGCTCAAATCAGTTCTAAATCCCTCGCCATTACCATCTTGGCGATGTCGCAGGGGTGGACAGCTGAAAACATGGCTTGGCACAGTCAAGGCCGATATGGAGTGCCTGGGGCTACAAACCGTCTACGGACTCCGTCTGTGGAAGAAGAATTGGATAACCCTGTCGCAAAACCTTGCATCAGATCGCCGCGCCTGGGCAGCGATGATTCGAGATGTTCATGAAGCCGGCTCATCCTCTCGTAGGAGATAGCCGAAGTAAATCAAAAAAATCAAATCAACTGATGGATTTGTCCATCGTTGTGCAATATGTTTAAAGCGAGTTGGCATTAGAGAGGGTAGGCTTATAATTTTATTATTTCGTAGGAACTTTTTTTACAGGGTCACACCTCTCCTTAACGCAAATTTTGTACATCTGCAACTACCGGGTCTTGAAACAGCCAGTGAGAGCCGCAGCTGCTGAGACGGAGAATAGCCTCGTCTCAACAGTTCAATGGTATCAGCATTGCAGAGATATTGCTTCGTGGAAAATGGAGAAAATCACTTCTTTGTTGGGTGGATAAGACGTTGTTGTGCATGTCGATGAAACTGTGTTGGTGAAAAAGAAATACAACCGTGGTTGGCAGCAAGCGAACAATATTTAGGTAATAGGTTTGTATGACACCTCCCCCCGAAAGGGATTCGTCGAAACGACAGCAGACAGAAAAGCAACTACTTTAATACCAATTATTACCAGACTTGTAAAACGGGGATCTATAATACACACGGACGAATGGAAAGATTACAATTCCCTGTCATCTCTGGGATATATTCATCATCGAGTCAACCATTCCAGTGATTTTGTCGATCCCGTTATGAGGACACAGACAAATTCTATTGAAGGATTTTGGGGCAGGTTGAAAAATAAGATAAGGGCTATAAATGGATCTCAAAAGGATCTCATTTATAGTCATTTGGATGAATATATGTACAGAATGTGGTGTAACTTTTCTATTGACAGTCCGATGCTTAACTGGGAGATGTTTCTCTCACATGTTAGGGAAAGATATCCTCTGTAACAGTTTTATACTTTTTTTTCTATAAATATACGTTTCCATTTATCATAAATGCCTCTTTAATGTAATTGGTCCGTCCAAGGTCGTTTGCTGATTGGTTGTTAGTGGTGCTGAAAGTTTGAATTTGCCGGCCTATGAATTCTAATTTAATGTTCACTAGTGACTGACTACAGGACAGATTTGCCTAGACTTCTAGGGTCCATCAGGTCGGCTGTGGGGGCAAACACCTGTCGATGACATCGGCTGACGGTGGATGAGTGGTCAACGAGCTTGGCCTGAAGGTCCTAGGTTCGTATTGCTGAAGCGTCTCAAACTCCGGGACAAAGTAGCTGTCCAGTATTATCTGGTTTTCACGGTTTGTATGTTATTTTCATGGATCTTTTCTTAATTCTTTTATGTAGTCGGGTAAAGCCAGCTTTCGCATATGAGCAATATGAGACTGAACCTGACGAATACTTTGATCCAGCCAGTCAGTTGTTAAGCAAGAAGTCAGCTGAACGAGTAAGTCATGTTTGTTTTCGCCATTTCTACTGAATTTTTTTTCAGTTGTTGGTTATTCCCCTAATGTATTATAGCAAGATTGATAGGAGCCTGTACCTGCATTTAGTCTGGCGGGTGGACCGTTTGAGATTGTCGACAAGTTCGTGTATTTAGGTAGTTGTGTGAATACTAGCGGGGGCGTGTCAATTGAAATCTCTAACCATATATAGCGGAAGCTTGAGTGGCATACACGGATTCGGGCGACTTCTAGCACTGTTGCGACGTTGGGTTTACAGTACTTTTGTGCTCTCAGTCTTGATTTACACCTGCAAAACCTGGCCTATCCGATTATCGTATTTCTTCGTATTATTGGATGCTTTCGCTGGTATCATGGTGTAAGTAATTCTGAGATCTCTTCTCCATCTCCATTTTCTTCTGCATACCTCTTGGTTGGTTCGTTCCCAGAGTTCCTCGTTACTTATACCTTCTGGTCATTTGATCTGCACAACGTAGGATGGCGGCAGCTGTTGATGGAAGTCTACAGTAGGCTGTTGGAAATGCTTATGGTGAAGCTCGCAACAAGTCTGTGAACCCCATATGGAAGCACTGACTACTTTTAAACTAGTGTTGGAAATCCGAATCTTTTTCTTTATGCTGAATGCATCAGATTTCCGCATTGATTTCATTGTAATGAAGATCTTTCTTTCTTGCTTTTCCCACCCTGATTAGCTTTGATAACTTCATGCTTGCCATCTGTAGTTGAAACGACACTGCCTAGTGAAGTGAAGGAATTAGCTTCCTTTAAATATTCCGCGTTGATGTTGATCGGTGCTTGTTCTGTGTTCACTTGAAGTATTATGTTATTTGCTTCTCGCCCGACATAAAACAACGAGTTTTCCTCTTTTATCCTTCCTCATTCATTGTCTGTTGCATGATCCAATTCACCGCACTCAGGAATATCATCTTGGTAGTAGTTAGGCACGCACGTAGCTGTTTTATTTACGAGATTTAACTTAAAATAAGTTAGGCCTTTGGTATTAGATGGTTGGAGGCAGTCGGCAGGAAGCCTTGGACCTAGGTTTCGTGCTAGTTGGCACTCATCAGCAAGGCGTATTTGCAACCTTCAAGGAACTCATGTCCCTTCTGAGATTCGAACCCGCGTCACCCAGTGCTGCAGTCAGAGACGTTACCACTGAGCTATTCGGGCCCACGATTGACCTCCTGTTGGATATTTTTGATTGCGCACTAGTCAGTTACTAGTATAATGTGTCTAGTCCTATCTTCGCTGCAGACTGGATTCTATCAGTCAAGCTTGCAATGTAGGCCTTTAACCATTATTTTTATTTAAGTCGTCGTCATGACATTCACTCATATTAAGTACTATTTTTATACATGATCATTCTGTTTTCATCAGTCAGTATTGTTGAACAATTTACTTACTGTTGAGATAAACAGAGACAAATCATCATCAAACTTCTCATATCATAACACACAGTGTATTTATCGTTTCAACTTGTCATATTTCGTGACAAAATAAAAAAAAGTAACAGCAGATAAATAAATAAGGCAGAAAAAAAGAAAGAAAGAAATAGAAGAGGATGTATGTGATGTGAGAGACAGTGTAAACTATAATCCAAAGCTTTATGCAACAATTCATCTCTTAGTCTATCCTGTCAAAAAAAAGTTATAAATTAGAGAAAAATTTATGAACTAGTTAGTAATCATTTAGATTGTATTATTTGTTGGGGATTTGGATTAATTTGACTTCAGTTGTTAGCTTTTGTTCCGAATCTGATCCCTGGTGGGATTATGCGTCCCATTGGATTGGGTCCCAGTGGCTCAATGGTCTACGAGTTTCCCTTGTAACCAGAACGTCCTGGGTTCGAACCCCGGTGGGTGCGTACTGATGAGGAGTCTCAAACGAGGACGAGACAGCCAGCTGTCTATAGTGGCCCCCCTGGTTTTCAGTGAAGTGGTAGAGCACGTTGACCGCTTCACTTACTTGGGAAGTAGCATCAGCCCCAACGGGTTGATTTCCGACGAAATCTCAGCACGAATACAGAGGGCCAGTTTCGCATATGCCAGTTTACGCCGTCTCTGGCGTATACGTGATATCCGACTATCGACCAAAGGGCGTGTGTACTGCTCATCAGTCCGCTCCGTCCTCCTTTATGGCTGTGAGACCTGGCCATTGAGAGCGGAAGACATGAAAAGATTAGCTGTCTTCGATCATAGGTGTCTGCGTTCTATCTCCCGCGTGAAGTGGTATAATAAGGTGAGTAATGTTGAGGGTTAGGCTTCGGTCGAGTGCTAGGTAAGGAGGGGAAACCATTAGACGAGACTGTGAAATTACATCGACTGAGATGGTTAGGACATGTGTTACGTATGCCTAGTCATCGCCTTCCTCGACGGGCAATGTTAGCTGATATAGGGCCAGGCTGGAAAAGAGCTAGCGGCGGTCAAACGAAAACATGGCACCAATCAATGAAATCTACAACAGTTAATCTAAGCCACGTAGGAAGATGTAGACTTCCTGGTTGGGGTCCCCGGGACGGTAAAAACCAATGGTTGGAAACAATTGGTGACATGGCTCAAAATCGTTCTCAGTGGCGCAGATGCATCCACTCCTTGTGACTTATGATTTTCAATTAAACTGTTTTGTTCTTCGTTATTACTATTCCTTTGTCTCACACCTCTGTTTACTGTTTCCATTATGCATTTCTTCTACTTCCTTCTCTTGCTTTGCGTGCTACATGAACTGCCGCACATATGTGTAAAGTTCTATGTCTAAAACAGACAGACAGAGACTCAATTGAAATTAATCCATATCCCTACAAAATCCTATAAGATTAATATTGATCTCGAGTTCATTGATAGCTAATGGATGGATTTCTTGAAGCTGTGCAGTGGGGAGGTAGTCCTGACCAAGTGGAGTTTAGTATGTCAATCTGATTTGAATGGATAGCGAAGGCATTGGTGTTAGGGCAGCGCGCTACATCACGATTCGACAGAGTTGGAATGCACGAACCACTGAATTCTGGTCCACGTGACTGAATGGTCACAGAGTTTGCTCTTGTAAATTGAAGGTCTCGGGTTCGATCCCTGTTTTTGGGGGTGGTGGGTGGGCGCTGCTAGTGAGTCTCAGAATGTGATGAAGCAACCGTCCAGTGCTACTGACTGTGGTTTTCAATGATCTCTCTAACTGATGTTAGTTCTTGACGAAATGTAACAGTTTAACAATTAAACTAGTAATCAGTTATTTGTCCTTAGCTTTCACAATTAACTGACTGGCTTCAACATAGAACTCTGCGCAGAAGTGCAGTAGTTCAAGTTGCCACACTCCAAGTTAACATACGAGGGAAGACGAAAGAGAAAAAGATTCTGAAGAACTATAATAAGCAGAAATATGAGGGAGGAAGAATAGTTACATGAGAAAAGATTAGGGTTAGTGGATATTAGAGATCACAAAAAGAGTGAATGCGCATCTGCGATTTTCTGATCATCTCCAGCGGTCTCCAGCCACTGGTTCTTACCATCCGTAGGACTCCAAGAATGAAGTTTACGTCTCCTTACGTGGCTAAAATTAATTGTCAAGGTTTTCATGGACTGATTCCAAGTTTCGGTTTGACCACCAGTATCCCTTTTCCAACCTAATCCTTTGTCAGCTGACATTGTGCGTCGAGGAAGGCGATGGTTAGGCTTGCTTAACACATATGCTGACCATCTTATTCTATGTAGTAGCTTCAAAGCCTGATCGATTGCTTTTCCTTCCTCACCTCGCAGTCGACGCCTAACTTCAATATTGCTCACCTTCACACGGGAGATAGACTGCAGACACCTATGGTCAGACAACGACAGCTAGGCTTTTCATTTCTTCTACTTTCAATGACCATTTTTCACAGCCGTAAAGTTTTCACATATATAGCAGTACGCATTCATGTATTTAATGAGTGATCTAGTGAAGGAATATCTAATTGTAGATTTGAATCTAATGGCAAAACATTACATCACTGCCATCCGACATGCAGAGTATCTTTCCTGACACTGATGGGTTGATGGGTCGCACCACCATAACTTATCACTATGTCTTACTGGGATGCTCAAGATGATAAGAACCAGTGGGAATGCAGCTACATCCAGTTGATGAGTCCTAGATAGGAGGAAATGCGCATCTTGGATTCCACTGCCAGTCACCGTCCACCAATTCAAAACAGTAATCAGTTGTTTGTCTTTAGCTTTCATACTTGACTGACTGGTTTCAACATAGAACTTTGCACGGAAGTACAGCGCTCCGAATAGCCACACTGCATGTAACACTCAATGGCGGAAAAACGAGAGCAGAAAGAGATTTAAAAGAACAACAATCAGTAGAAATGTAATGAAGGAAGAATAATAACATGGAAAAATATGAACCTTTATTGAATGTGGGTGATCACAAAGTGTGAATGCATCTGCACCACTGGGAACGATTTCGAGCCATATCATCAATGGGTCTCCAGCCATTGGTTCTTAGGATCCTGTGGACTCCAACAAGGAAGGAAGCCTACATCTCCCTACATGGCTAAAGCTAACTATCAAAGATTTTACGGAGTGATTGCATGTTTTGGTTTGACCACCACTAGCTCTTCTGCAACCTCATTCTATATCAGCTGACATTGTGCATCGAAGAAGGCAGTCGATGGCTAGGCATGCGTAACATGTTCACTAGTCGTCTCGATCGATATAACTTCACAGCCTCATCGATTGACTTCCCCTCTTATATCTAACACTCAACGCTTAACCTCAACATTTATCACTGTGTTATACTTCATTCACTTATCTAGGGAGCATTGTCTCAACTACAGGAGGAACAAACGACGATGTCAAATCCAGAATCGGGAAGGCGAGAAACACATTCATCAACCTGAAACCAATCTGGAAATCTTCGTCACTCACTCAGCATCAACAACAAACTGATTCGGATTTTCAATACAAACGTCAAGTCAGTCAGTTCTTCTATACGGATCAGAAACTTAGCGGCGGGTCACAAAGAATATTTCCAACAGCCTGTTGCAGACCTTTATCAACAACTGTCTTCGTTCTATACTGAAGATCAGATGGCCGGAAAGAATCACCAACAAGAAACTATGGGGACAAACGAAACAAGAACCAATCGCCCAACAAATATACAGGAGAAAGTGGAGATGGATTGGACACTCGCTGAGGAGGCCACTCGCTGGGGGACATCGCGCGTCAGACCAACGCTTGAGTGGAACCCGAAAGGGAAGCGGCGAGTGGTTCGTCGGTGCAAGGGTGACACGGAGGAGATCGTGTGAAGAGGAGCTGAAACAGTATGGACCAACATGGATGCAAGTGAAAAGTAAAGCAGAAGAGAGAAACAAGTGGAGGCGTGCAGTTGAAGCCCTATGTTCCACTAGGAACCCAAGGGAACAATAAATAAAAATAAATATACCGCCGGACATAGGAGACAGAAAGCAGGTACCTATGATCAGACACAGCTAGCCGGGCTTTTCATGTCTTCCACTTTCAATGGCCATGTCTCGCAGCCATAAAGCTTTCACATTTTATCCGTGCACACTGTTGTATTCAGTGAGTGATCTAGTGAAGAACTATCTGATTATAAGGTGAATTTATTATTTTGAGTTAGTAGATTGGAATCTGATAGCAAAATCATTCCACCACTGCACTCTGTCATTATTACTCACAGTATTTTTCCTCATATTTTCAATTGTTGGTTCCCTATCACGATGTCTTGCTGGGATCCTCGAGATGATAAGAACATGTGGTTAGAGACTGTTGGTGGTGGTCTGTGATTTAGAAATAATTTTCTGTGACACAGACGCATTTACTCCTTGCAGTCTTCAAGATTCGTTAAATCCTCAAGTTTCTCCATGTAGTTATTCTTTTCCTCAAATATTTAAATGAGTTTCGTTTCTGTACCATTTTGTTTGCTGTTATTTAATGTGACATCCTGAATGAACTGCTACAGTTTTACGCAAACTTACTACTTTGAAGATTCATTTCAACTCATTTCGTCTGTCATATGACTCATTGATCCAAAAAGCTCGGGCTGCTTTCGCTAACTTACACCGTCTCTGGCGTAGGCGTGACATCCGGCTATCAACCAAGGGACATGTGTACTGCTCAGCAGTTCGCATAATGAGATAAGTAATATTGATGGTAGGCGTAGGGTGTTGGGCAAAGAGGGAAAATCAATCGACGAGGCTATAAAGTTACATAGATCGAGATGGATAGGTCACGTGCTGCGCATGCCTAACCATCGCCTCCCCCGACGGGCATTACTAGCTGATATAGGTGTTATGGGTTGGAAAAGAGTAAGTGGTGGCCAAACAAAAACATGGCCTCATCAATCCATGAAATCCCTGACAGTTAATCTGAGTTAGGTAGGGAGATGCAGACTTCCGGGTTTGGGCCCTCGGGACTCTAAGAATCAATGGCTGGAAACAATAGGTGACATGGCTCAAAATCGTTGTCAATGGCTTACGCAGATGTATTCAGTCTCTGTAGTCTTTCATATTCCTTTCTACCATTACTCATTCTGTTTCACTGTTATACTTGTCAAAACTCTATTGATTCTCTTCACTCATTTTCTTGTCTACCTTTGTGTGCTATTTGGAACGTGGCAACTGGAACTGCTGCACTTCGGTGCCAAGTTCTATGTTGAATCCAGCCAGATATATGACTCATTAGAACTTTGAGAAATCCTATTACAGACGGGCTAATGAGTAACTAGCGATTGTTTAAGTTATTTCTAGATTTTGTCTTTTGTGCACATTATTGGACGAAACAACTGTCCTCTGAAATTATGAATGTATGTATTTCGGAATTACCGGGTAATTTCATGGCATTGTTCTATGTTTTGAAATAGTAAGTGTTCGTGTTTATCCTCATAAAACTACTGATCAATTGTGGTGAGTAGTAGTAGTAGTAGAGTACCACTCACATCAACTAGTAGCGCGCTTGCTAACCAGCTCGAGGTGTTTATTCTTCTTTCTAATTTTCTCTCTGTCCTGTTTAATTCTCTTGAAATTTTAGGTAGCTCGACGATTTCAGCACTCTGGAATTCTTGAAACACAAGAAGAACATGCAGATTCATCATCACATGATGAAGATGATTGTGAAGAAGAAGGCTTTGATCCTTATTCTTCTTCTGCTGTCAATATTGACTCATCGTCTAATGCTGCTATCCATGATGGAGAAGTGAATCATCCAGGTGAAACGATGAATAATAGTAATCCACGTAATTCTCTGAATGAAATTGATTTATTAGAATTAATGAGAAATTTACGCTCACAGTGTACTAGTTCACCACAGGAAAAAGATTCCGCCAGTGAAGATGAAGACATACTGAGTAAACAAGTCCCACTCCAGTTGCCATTTAGTACATTCGGTGTTAGTGGAGCTCGATTAACGCATCTTTTCGCTGAGTTACGTGAACGAGCTAATCTCGACCTGTTTCAAGTTCCACAGATAAATAGCAGCAGTAACAACAACAACAGCAGCAGCAGTTTGAATCCTGTTTCTGGAGTTAATAATATAACTGGTAGTGCTGGTGGGGGTTGTAGCAATACAGCTCAATCGTCGTCTTTATTCGATGCAGATGCTCTAGCTGATGAATTAGAAAGGCATGAAAGAATGCTAAAAGAATTTGATGATTTCCTGTCAGATTTTCAAAATATTGAACCATTTGGAATTGTACGTCCACCTGTCCCATCTGAAGTTGTCAGACAACAACATGGGCTTGGCAGTGGTGGCGGCGGTGGTTGTGGTGGTGGTAATATTCCCGGTAATAATGCCACCCTAGTGACAACACGAACACCTCATCCTGTTAACGAGGGTTAATTTTATTTTGAAAAAAATCTTCATACACGAAAATAAGAGCAATATATTATTATTATTATTACTATCATAATATCATGACATGGAAATTCTAAGTGATCTTTTATCTAAGACATAATATATTATATACATATTTATACACGTATGTATATGGCTGTTTGTATTTTTCCCGCCAGAGTTATTATTATTATTATCATTATTACTTTTTTTTCATTCTGCTTTCAAAGTGGTAATCATCATTGCTTTGTAAATGAATAATAATAATAATTATATAATTTGGTTTTTCATTTTCTTTTTTCTTTCTTTCTTTCTTGTTTTCTCATTTTGTTTTTTTTGATCTTTTAATTTCTGAGCTTTATATTTCGTTTGATTTGACAAGAAAAAAATACTTTTGACTTGTTAATCTCCTTTCTGTCTTCTGTTTATTGACTGACTAGAGTCGAATAAGGTGTGCGGGACATATTTTGTGTGTGTGTGGTGAAATGTTTCCGTGTCGTGCCTTGCCTTGCCGTGCTTAGGGATTGGGGAATGAGTTTTAAAGGAGTCTTAGTAAGCAGCTCATATTGGTGGTAGAAATTTGATTGGACACTAGTCAGTAACTAGCGTAATGTGTGCTCTCCGCGGTGCAGACTGGCTCACCATCACGGTGCACTGTGAATTGTTGGTATTACACATGGTTGGAGGCAATCGGTGGTAGAACTTATTTATCTGTAAGTGACTATGTGCTTACGGCTGCCCACACCATGGAAGTTGGTCCCTGCTTAGTGTTACGTAATCGGAGAGCCTGTATTAGGTGGATTTTGGAATCGCCTCCATATTGATATCTTGCCGCCGGCTACATGGACCTCCGCAAGGTAAGTTGGGATATGCAGTTTTCGGGATTGACAGTTTATAGACCCACCTTTCCAGAGTGGAGAGTCAGCATAGCTGGCTTGCTGGTCTTCTTTATTTGCTAGCAGCACAACTTTCCCCACTGAATCCCCAACATAGTGGAAACGACTTACACTGCTTTTGGTGTAACCGCTATCCAAACGACGTTTCTGGTGTTGTAGAAGCTGCAGGAACATTAATTGCAGTCAGTGTAGCTCGTTGACTCACTGTGATGTGCCAGCTCAATCATCACATTACGGTATCAGCTAGTGGTGTGGTATCTGGAACAGATTTTTCATATACCAGGCTATGAGTCACACTTTTGTTTGAAGACTGAAGTAGGTGGAGCTAGGCTCGAGATCCCGCAACCCACTAGTTGGAAGTTGAGTATTCAAGCCATTGTGCGATCCTACCTGAGACTAGATTAAGATCATGTCGTAAATTTAATGAATTTGATTAGTTTTCAGCCTTAGACTTTCTATACTTTACCCTCAGTTAACTCGCCTCAATGGAGTTGTGGCTCATTAGTTTAGGCGCTTGTCTTCCAACCAGTGGGTCAGGCATTCGAACCCGTGTTCCGATCATTGAGGTTCGGGTAGTATAGTGTAACCAGCCCTCACACATTAGGTGTGCCTCATTGCCATCTGCATCAAATTGCTGGCAGTTATTGAGTTACATGCAGCATTGACTGTACCTCAACGTTAATAGATCCAGTGGTCCCTGATTTTCAGTCATCACTGTAACTAATGCTGGTTTCTGACGAAATCTAACAATTGGAATTAAATTAATCCAAATTCCCGGATATCATATAATCTAAATATCAATGTCGAGCTGATTGATGACCACTGGATGAATGAATTTCCTGAAACTGTGGTGCAGTGGGAAGTCGTGTCCAGATTGTTCCAGCATGTTTAGGTGAATTGAATATGCATCGAAGGCATAAGTGAGGATAGAGCTATATATAACGAATTGATTACGTTTGAATTCACGGGTGACTAAAATCCGACAGAAGTGTCTGAGTGATCAGTGAGCTTGGTTACGTAATCTGAAGGTTCTGGGTTCGACCTATGTTGCAGTGGTGGACGTGCAGCGATGGTCAGTCCCAATATAGTACGAGATTATCTATATGTAAAACAGGATGAAGATATCCATGTAACGGGAGAAGAGGAGAGACTTGATAACGGACCTCTGCTAAGTAAAAACACATCATATAAATTCTTATCCACATTAAAGTTCGATCAGGTCAGGGTACAATAAATAGTTCTGATTGGTTGACGGTTGGCTCAATGCTAAACGAGTTGTTCAATGAGGTTATTCAATGTACACAACGCAAATTTGCGAAACACGAACTACTACCTCTGCAGCCATTAACTTAAAATGTATGTATCAATTTTCGGCTGCTTCCTATCAATCTGAATGACGCCACATCCTTACTTTGGGTTACATGTATTCACTCTCATACAGTATTCATCTGCGTCAATTGGCATGAACTACAAAAAAGGTGTGACCTGAGTAGAATATCAAAATTTCATTAAGAAGATATTTTTTTATTATCACAGCGATAAATATAAATCACTCAAAAAAATAACGTCAAAATTCCTAATATTTTAGTTGGTGTTGACTATCAGTAGAATCTAGAATGCGCATTTCGTCCTGTTCGGGACTCGTCAACTGGATGTATTTGCAATCCGCATAGAGTGTGTAATGCTGTGCCCACTGAGATTTAAGCCCTGCACCTATCTTTTCAAACTCCAAAGCGTTGCCAACTAGGCCAAGGGAGTCACCTTTTGTGCAATGGGTATCAGATAATACTATTTACTTTCACACAACTAATTAATGAACAAAGTGTGTTCTTTGCGATAAATTCGTCATCGGGTTCCACAGTTATATATGACAGTAATATAATTAAAGAATTATTGTCATTAACAACACTAATGTTTTTTGAATTACAAACCAAGTTCACTTTTAACAGGTTGAAAAATTTGGGGATTGGGTATATGATATTCATTAAAATAAGTTTTTTGTATTTCCCAATGAATGAAAAACAAAACGATACTGTTGTGTTTAATAACGTTTCGCTATTTAATGATGCCAATAGCTTTATCAAAGTATTATTAAACCAGAATTTACAAAAAATCAGCATATATAACAATTTAATCATCGTTCCTCAGTAAGGAGTCATTTTTCGTTGTCAAATTGGCCAAATGGTAAAGATAATCCAACTTGTTGGACTTGATAAGTGCGTAAAATTATAAAAACAGACTGTGTTTACATAATGAAATCGCTTATCACATTCGTGTTTATTTTGTCACTTCATGGGGGAGGGCGGGGGTGTTGTAACCAGGACAAATTCCGTTTTGGTCCGTCATTCCTATTCAGACAATTTGGATTCCACTTGATGTGAATTGCATTTGATATTATCTGTTCTTTGTGATTTCTGAAATTTTTCTAGATTATTTCAATGTTGTCAAAATCAATTTTGTGGCCTGATGATTTTTCAAGCTATATTTAATTCAACTGGATTTCTCGGTGGTCGAACATACACTCAATCTACGGTGTTCATTTCTTCTGATTTTGATTTCTCGAGATGTTTTTCTGATGTATGTCGCATCACATTCCAAGCAAGCATTTTATTTTATAGACACAATTAGATAGAGAATCTGTAGGGATTTGGTCTTTTATTTGGACAAGGTTATTTCGCAGTGTGTCTGATGTTTTGAAGAGAACTCTGATGTCGAGCTTTTTGAGTATTCTTCTGATATCGTCTGACGTCTCCGCTCTATATGGAATGACAACTGTTGAGGTCCATGTTTTCGACCATAATTAATGCCAGTGTTTATTTTGTTGATGAAGTCTCTTGGGTAATTGTTTTGCTTCAGAGTATCAGTAATGCTTGATATCTCTTCTTCTTTTTCCTTCTCATCCCTTATCAGAGAGGGTTCTCGTCTATTTGTTCCAACATCAGTAGTATCGAAAGATTACATTTTAAAAGCATCAGTAACACTAAACGGAATATCAGAAAAATTAGAGAAGTAGCATGGAATTTATAGGCTTGATAGTAGACCAGGGTAAGAAAAATGGCTGGACCTGCTATTTTTGCCTACAGAGCTCCACTTGATTTAAGCGAATTCGAATAGCATCTACTGTTTGCAGTCTTTGGTATCTGGAGGCTCTTGGTAATTTATTCGATACCCGATAGTTGAGAGAGAAGAATTCTTCAATGCCAGCTGGCTTGGTGACCTGTTTGGATGGGGTGATCTCATATAGAACTGTTGATTGTTTTAATAGCATGTTTGTTCAGCCACACCGGTACGTGTTCTTGAACGTGGAGAATTAGGTTCCTAGGAAATCGGCCAAAATAGCTGTCTCCACAGCAACAGTTGAATTGGTAGATACATTGAGAGGTGGCCAGATAGCCTAGTTACTTCATCTTTTAGTTTCGGAAATACAACTGGTTGTGGGGGAAATATAAGCTACGGCTTACCAGTACTGAACGTTCTTTGGATCGACTCTCTCGACTTGTTGGTTATTTTTTTACCTGGTGAATCATCTTTGAGTTTTGGTGATGTATATAGAGGCTTCTTGTTAACAAATAGAGAATTCTACTTTCTTGGCCAAATGTTTCATGATGGACCTTTTAGGATAGGCGTTTTCAGTTAGTGTGTCACATACAACCTTAGGCTGGTCTTCAACCAAATCTTCTGAACAAATAGCTTTGAGCCTGTAGCTGAAGGTCTTTACCAAATTTCTTTGATACAGGAGAGAAGAAAAACGCTGTGAAAATATATATATTGACTGGCGTGAGTACTTTTCTTATTCCAATTTTTTTTCTGTTACTGTCTAGTTTTCTTGTCAGTAGGATTTGCAGATTCTTCTTCACACGAGAACCTGATAACTGAATTGAAATGAGATATTATTGGAGTTCTTGTCGAAATCATTTCCACTAGGAATGGGTGTATCATCCATATACTGGCAATACGATAAGGCTTTTCTCTGATAAGGTTGCTTGAAGGACCATTGTCTAACTTACTCATTAAGAAATCTGCTAACATGAGACAATCTGAAATAAGACGAAATAGGCATTCTGCGTTCTACTACTAGTCGTCAGCCATCAAAATTACATCATATCAATCATCA